GGAAACTGAAAATGAATTATAGGTGACAATGGACGGTACCTAGATTCTATAACACATGTTTTTGAATAAATAATGAATGAATTTAAAAGTGAATGAGCAAATAAATAAGCAAATCTCATTGCAATTTATCTTACTTCTCCAGCTCAGGTAAATAGTAATACTAATATTTTATAACTGTGAGGTACTAAAACAAATGTTTTACATGGATTATTCATGTCAATTTTATTTACAAAGTTCTCTGGTCTCCATTCTTTAATCTTTCTTTTAGACATATTTTTGAAATCATCTAAACTCTTTTTTCACTTTTCCACATTCTTGTAAATAACTTAGGAATCCAAACATCTCTGGGTATGTAACTTCAGCAGTTCATAAGTCATATCTTTGCAGGAAAAAGATTGTGTTTTTTGGAATCAATGACTCCATATATTCTTTCTTACCTACTCACCATAGGTTTTATTTGGAGCGTGGTTATTGCAGACAGTGTGAAGAAGAGAGTCTGAAATTAATGCTCTATGGATGTTACAGGTTGCTTAGAAGCTATTGATTCCACACAACATGAGAGATGGAAATGGCTTCCCCTCACTTCCCCATAGACCATTAGTACCGATCAGAGATGGAATCACATTCAGAGAGGACATAGGCATTTGTTTCACAAAATGTTTCACTTTGGCGGTGATTCCGTGAATGTGCTGCTGAAATGACAGTGTGAGAAATAGTCTCTTCTCTGAATTTCCCTACCACAAAGCTCGATGTGAGGAAGATGGCCCAATCCATTCTCACTTGGAATATGCTGTTCTGTAACCTTCACCTTCAAAGAAGCCATTAAGGTGCTACCTGTCTGTATTTCTGAGAAAAATATCTGCTTACCCTCATTGAAATGGGCAAAGCAGTAAACCTCTGAGTCTGTAATGCACAATATTGGGCTTTCCTTGAAAACCAATTGCACATAATGGGTGTCAGGCTTTGCTGTTTAATCCCCAAGTTGCTGGCTCAGCAGCTGCCAGTGGTTTCATATTCCCAGGCCTGAGACTTCCCCTATTCTCCACAATGGGCCTGAACTCTGACTGTGTACAGAACCCAGATGGACATACATACACAGTATCTCAACCCAGAAGACTCTTCTGCCCTTGGCATATCTCTTTCCTCTTTCCTCCAAAAAAGAATCTTAGACGAAATCTCAGTTGCTTTTGTAGATTGAACCGGTGTCATGAGAAGACATTTAGAGAACATTTCTGGGGTGCGCAGAATAAGAAGTCAGTGCAGAGAAAGGACAAAGGACAGAGGAAACCCTACAGGGGGAACAAGCCATGAGCCGGAAAGGAGCATATCTGATGAGCAGAGCCACTGACTGCTCTGGTTTCAGACTATCTTGTCAAGGGTATTGGTATAGAGACCAGACTTGGGAGATGAAGACAGTGTCACCCTGTTGGAAGAATGATTAAGAATTCATACTGTCAAATATAATAAAGATAATGTCAAAAGAGAGGCTTACCACCTGTTATAAAAGATTTGACTTCCCTGGTCTTAGGCTGCCTCTCCTGCAGCACAAACCATTACACATGCAGGTGTCAACTGACCCTCTGCTCAAAGCCTTGTGGGACCTGGGGCTCAAGAATCTGCCATAAATGCTACCACTCTAGTTACGCTATTGCTGTAAATAATAGTGTCCTTTGTCTCTGACCCAAGGGTCTTATGTCTTGTGTTAGCATCCATAAAATTGTGTCAGGCAAACATGTTTGCTTGTAAGTAGGGTGAACTTCAGACTCTTTACAGTTCTTGACAATCACTAAATGGTATTAAAAAAATCTCCTAACATTGGAAGAACTGACATAGAGGGATTATCTCCTGAAAAGGGTGAAAGAGGATGCTTGGGGTCATGGCTCCTTGATCTGTTCCGAATGTCACTCTCTTATAATTATTTCTGTGTTTCTTTAGACCAGTGATTCTCAGCTTTAGAAGAATGAGTCATAAACTCTTTGAGAACTGACAATTCTGTGAATATACACTCAAAATCACATGTGAATATGTACATATTTTACACAAACTTTTAAATATTTGTGGGCCCCTTTTAGGCATTAATTGGCCCTAAATTAGAACCCCTGGTTTGGACTGATTCACCCTAAGGATAAGAACTATAGTCATACTGCTCATAACACACTGATACTCAACTAACACCGATAGCAGGGCTCGGGAATGAACTTGAGAAATGAATAAGTAGATTACAAGACTGAAACTTACATGGATAATACTCCAAAATATGCAATGAGTGTGTGTGTATGTGTGTGTGTGTGTGCGATAATAAAGAGGTCCTGATAATTGTTTAAGAAAAATAACAATGTAGGTGATCTCAAGAAAATAAACAGATTCAGCCAAGATGGCTAAGAACCTGGGTTCTGCAACCATCTGATCTGGGTTCAAATCCCAACTCTTTCACTTGCTAGTGATGTGATCTTAGCAGTAACCTAATCACTCTGTACTTCAGTTTCGTCATCTGCATAGTTGGGTAGGAAGTACCTACCATGGTGAATTATGTCCCATGACTGGTGTAACAGTCATATGGAAAATTCACTTTACGTTCTGGATGGCTGCTTCAATTTCCCCTCCCACTAAATAGGGTTGGATAATACTTGCCAACACTGCTGGCATGGACCGGAAAGATCCACAAATCAATGTTTGTCAAGCCCTTTGGCTTAATTCCTCGGAGGGAAATACTCAAGTATTTCCCCTCCTCTTGTTAAAGCAATCCTCACTCCACAGTGTAAGAGGTTCATGACCCACCACCCAAGCTTCCCGTGAACTGCTCTCTAGTTTCCTAGGGGAGTGTAAATATTCATCACCACATCTGGGATGCAGGACCTGCACTGGGCAATTTGGCCTTTAGAAATCCTTTCCTAAAAGCAAAGAACACAGAGGATCCCACCTGAAAACTGAAGGGTAAGAAGCTCTCAGAAATGAATAGGGGCTTCTGATTGGTGCAGCTAAAGGGAGCACAGGCCTGTCAGGTCTCAGTGGGAAGTGCTGTGATTGGTTCCCATTGACGACACCAAGGGAAGCTTTCTGGGAAGAGATTGCATTGAGGTATTTGAGAGAAGAAGTTCTCACAGTCAACCTGGGACTTGACTTGAAGGGCACAGCTTGGATTCAACTAAGACCACAATGAGATCACCTGCTTTTACTTTGTCCTCTCCCTCATTCTGCTACCACTTTCGAGCAGAGGAGGGGGAGGGAGAGCATTTGAATTGTATGGATTTATTGAAAAGTCTTCTGTCTACCAAAAAAGCTCTAGCTTTCCCACTTCTCTTTTTCCATTCTAACAAGGAGCAGTAGTTTCATTCACTTTGGGACATTTTTAACTTGTGTATCTTTAGTACATAAATTTAAAAAACATATATAAACTCAATCCCAAGTCTAACATGCCCAGCTGAGTGCATCTGATGGTGTGAGGGGCTTCGTGGGGCAAAAGGACACATACGCCTATGATGTTACTGTGCCGGGGGTCTAAATTCAGCATCTAAAAGGTTTTCAGAAATCTGGAGAAGGCACTGAGTATAAATTATTAAAGATTCCAGAGACAAAACATAATTTTGGAAGGCATTTTGGGGAGCCAGAGAAAACTTAGCTAAAGAAACCAAGTTCTCTATCCCTCTGGACCCCTTGCTTTTTATTAACACAAATTGTCCTAAAGAAAGATAGATTATATACATCAAAGGGTACAGTTTGGTATACAGGAGGCATTGTTAGATTGGGGGAAACTGCCTACAGCTGTTCAGGTGTTTGGCCAGCAGAGGGCAATAACATGTAGATTGAAATGCCCTCAGCTGTCCGGCAGCAAGCAATCATTTATGCATCCTTTTCAGGTTTGGGGAAATGCCCTTAGCCATTTCCAGCAGGCAATAACATATGTGATTCAGCCCTTGCTGAGTCCCCAAATTCCATAACCTTTTGATGAAACTCTTGCATTTATGACATGCTGGAAGTAGCTTCTGGCATTATTGCCCTCCCAGTCTCTGGCCCAGTGGTCTGCCACCAACCTTTATGGCACACCAATTCCTCTGATGTGGAGGTATTTTTGGAACAAGACACAATCCTTACCTGAAAAGTGTTTATAACTTAGTATGGAGAATATTCAACATAGATAGTCTTGATTAACATAGCATGCCAAAATAGCCACATCACAAAAGTGTTTTTTGTTTTTTTTCTGGCTAGAATTAGCAGCATGCCTATTTATACCAATCATTGACAATACAGCCTTGCTTTTCTTATTTTATTATAGAAACCAAGATAAATGTGAATTCTTCCCTTTTCATGTCTTTGTGCCCAGGAGCTAAATCAAAATCTTTGCGATAAAGAGTGATAGAAGAAAAAAGTTATGCAATGCCAGAAAGATTGCAAGTTTCCAGAATTTCTTATTTGCTTTGCTTTTCCAAACAAACAAAAGGATATGGTTTCCCTGTAGGTAGAACAATAAATATATTCCAGGGCCTGAATTCCTCTCAATGGCTTGTGTGGAGGAAAGGATCCTATCGATTGAGGCAATTTTCCTGTAGCCCGTTTTTTCTGAATAGCTAAAAGTCATTGAATATATGTTTGCTGATCTTGTTTGCAGTTGATCAAACATCACTCTTTGCAATTATAAAATGATGTAATATTGTTTGTACTTTGTTTTATTTCATCAGGACAAATGTTTGGCTTTGTTTCAGAAGATAAATCAGCAAGAATTTATATTCTAACATAACACTGGTTTTGGGTAAATCATAAAAGATTATGAAATACTGAATAGTTACAAACTTAAAAAATCTTGAGTTCACACAGTTGAATAAAATAGTTTTAATTCTCATTGCTACCTGCAAAACATGTTCTTTGTTCTTTACTCATATTTGCAAAGTTAAGGAAACAAGACATTGGCAGCCATACATAAATGTCATTATTTTAGCACCCACAAGAACACACTGGCACAACCCACCCCTCTTCCTGTTAGTAAAAGGATTCTAGAAGATTTGCTACCTCCTTAGGAGAGGAAACATGTCACAGAGGAAAGAATGCAACTTGGGCAGCAGACAGATGAAAAGCAGGGTCTTTCTAATGCCTGTCAGCTGAGTGATCTTGGGTACATTATACACGTGCAGCCTCCATTTCTTTGCACAGTCTGGTGGGAGCATGGGCTCGGTTTCAACCTTGACTAACTCTTCCTCTTTGCTTGCGGTGCTGAAAACACTGATACAGGGTTGCCCTTCAGGTGCAGCTTCAAGGACAGTGAAAAGCAAAGAGCACATTCCATTCATAATCTCAAAACAAAGGTAGGGCCAGAAAATTATTTTGTCCATCCTGTTAAGTAGTTTAAGAATCTCTGCTTAAAGGAGCAACATATAAAAATGTAAACTAATTGTGAAATGTATTCCTAGCTTTCCGGTATGATTTCTTGCTGGTCAAAATTTTATAATTATTTGCTTATAACCTGGAGATTTTACGCTCATGTGTGTTTGTATGTGGTGTCAGTGGTGCTTCAAGGAGACAGAGGGAAGAAAGGGAATGAGGAAGAGAGAGATGAAGAAAATAATAACAAAGAGAAGGTGATGCCTAACACTTAGATGAATACCAACGCAATTACAAAATGTAGTCTGAAGGCTCAATATAACCAAGTGCTTTCCATGAGGAATCCTAAGACCATTCACGAGTAGATTCTCTCTCCTGTATCTGTTCTCTTGCTCTCTCATTCTCAGACTTTCTTCTCTCTCTCTTTCCCCCCAGAGAACTACAAATACAGATTGATATGGGTTTGTCACAATCAGAGCAAATCCTTAGCTCACACACTGGTCACTTGAACACCTACTTTCTACTATGGTTTCTTTCTCTACATACATGTAGAAATAACAACATGGAAAATTTACATTCTTTCATTCACAAAGAAAACAACTTCATTTGAATCCTTAGACTACACGTTATGCTGCAGCAATTGGCTGACAGTTGTCCTATAGGAAACACTGTTGCTGTGTCCACCTGAGAGACTTGCTGAGATCTCCCAGGAGGACGGACAGCTGGTTGAGGAAGCTCCCAGGTGGGGGGTGATTTTGGCTTGTTCTCTGAGTGTGTTCCTCCAGTCACATCCTGCCTCTATGCGCTCAACCCTCTCATGTCTCCACCTTTCTCTGCTAACTCCAGTTTCCTCCTCCCTTCAACCAATTTGAAATTTCAACTCAATCTCATTCTTACACAATGCACACTTCTCCCTGCCCTGAAGGTGACCCCTGGAGTAAAATTTCCTGTGGAGTAAAATTTCCTGCAGTCAGCAACAAAGACCTTTAGTCAATGAAATGGAACTAAACCATGTAGATGTAATGAATTCAGACGCTATTTCTATAGGTGTTAAATGGGTTTGTTTATTAATTTGCTCTAAATGACAAAATTCATGCATGTTTTTAAAAACTAAAATATACAAAGCATATAAAGTAAAAAGTGAATATCCTTTTACAGTGCATACTGCTAATAAAATCATTTAGAAAGCTTCCTTTCACTAGACAGTGTTATTTCAGTTGGATACAAGCCAGATGTGAATCCCATTCAAGTCATCACCTTCTATTCCATTCAGCCAGAAGGCTTAAGGGGCAGCGTGATGGGGAATTTCTTCTGGAGGAAGCCAGCTAGTGTTTACACCATTTAAAATATGATTTCTAAATTGCTTAAGCATATCTATCAAAATCTAAATGGAACGTTTAAAGTCAGCGTCACATAAAAGCAATACTCTGTGAAATGATTTCTGAATGGTGGAGATTTGTCTTTCAGACCGAGCATCCTAGAGCATAGAAACTGGGTAGATTGCTATATTGGAAGAGTCACCCGATTTTCTCCCGAACTTGGTGTTGATCATATGGGTATATTCCAAGGAACATAGGATCCAGGTTTGTCTCTTGGAATCTAGAATAAAAGGACAAATGTGTACGTTTGCATTTGGAAAACATTTGTGACAAGCAAAATACAGCAGAATATAAAATAGGGTAAAGACCACCCCAAGGGTGACCAGGACAATGAGAAGTCTGGCAATGGTAGCGTGAGAAATGAGGAGGAATCCAGGCGAGGACTCAGGGTCAGGTGGGACAGATCAACTATGGGAATTTTCATCCCATTTTGAAGAGGGACAAATGAAAAGTGGAATCTGTCTGTGTTTCTCCAGAGAGAAGAAGTGTATTATGGGGTTAGGAAGAGCTATACCAGTAAGTAAGGCGTGCCACAAAGAGCCAGCATGTGAGGATATATGGGGGATCTCCCATCAATACAGAAATAAACAAGGAATAACTTGTTTATAGTTGAGAGGTCACTAGGAATTCCTCCCACAATTAAAAATCCTATCACTGAAAATGACCAAAGAGAGCTCAAATGTTTGCCCAGTAGGGCTGTGAATGTAGGCAGGATTCCTGCCACTGGGGGCTGGGAAAGGGCCTGTTGAGTGTGTGCAACTCAGATCAGGAATTGTACGCTGCCAGTGCCTGGGAGGAGTGGACTGAGATAGACTGACTGCTGGAGTGGCCCATAGTCTTGGCCTGCATTCTGAGGCTCAGCGCACAGCTCCTGAACTTCTACCCTGGACCAATGTGTTATGGGAGGGGGGAAAAAAAAAAAAACAAGGGAGGAACATAACTGATGATAAAACAGAAACCTCCTTTTTTCAAGAAGTGCAGAACTGAGCCTCAGGACTCGTACTGTGAAATCTTTCCTGCACGAAGTCAAGAACCCACACACCAGCATCTGGCCCCAGGCAGTCCCGCTCAGGCCTGGGTCCCCTTCCTGGTAACAGGGCCAGGCTGATGGAAAGTGCACTTCAAGGCCATGCTCTCTTCTCCTGCTCAAGTGCCCTTGGGATTCTTGTCACCTTTTCTTCCACGGAAAACCGCCATGGTGGGCTAATAACACTTGACAGGGGACAAAAAATTCAGAATTTGATGAGCAGAGCATACCATTTTTGTGAACTTATCTTCACAGGCCATTCGAATCTTCTCTGGGGTCAGTGGGCTATTGAGCCTCAGTGGTTCACGCAGGCCTCTCTCCTGTCGCGCTGCACTCACTGCGTCATGGATGGCGAAGAACACTGAGCAGCCCAGGAAGATGCCAGACTCTCCCAGGCCCTGCAAGGGGACAAGTAAACCAGATTCATTCTCTCTCTCTTTCTCTCGCTCTCTCTCTCTATCTCCCTCCCTCCCTCCTCTCTCTCCAGGTACATGTGTGCACGTATTAAGATATAAAATATTAAATATGTAACTTTTCCTTTTTAAAAAAGCAATTTACTATTTAATCCTAATATTCCCATTCTTAGGATTCCAGTCTAAGGAAATGATCCCAAGTGGAATAAGGAGAAAGAGGCATGAAGATGAGTATTGCAAGGTGAAAATTCAGATGCAAACTGATGGCAATAGTAGTTTGCATTAGGCTCCAAGATTTGGAGTATTAAAAAAAAATTTACAAAGTTAAATGATTTTGTAATTTAAATGTTTAATAAGGCCTTTTCTCTGCAATCTTGGTAAGAACTCCAAATAACCAAAAGATGAAGGCAGCCCTTCCCTCCCTGCACGAGTATCTCATCAACATGCATTTATTCATGGAGCATAACTTACCTTAGATGAATACAGGGTATTTGAGTATTGAGATGGAGGCAAAAAAGAAACGTGAAACTCTGCGGGGATGTCACAGATGGTGGGGATTTTGTATTGGTCTGGACCACGAGTGTACAGGACACCCTGAGGAGAATAATTCAGTTCCTCGATTGTGTAGAGTCCCATGCCTTGAATAAATGCACCTTCAATCTGAGGCAAAAAAAAAAAAAAAGAAAAAAAAAGATTAGAATTTCCACGTATGAGAAAATACAGTCAACAGTAGCATTTCAGCTTCATGCTGTTTGCCTGAATTTTAAAAATACAGTGCAAGAGCGGGTATTCAGTATGTCTTGGAAAATATCTATGGAGTTTACATAAAAGTTTGCCTAAAAGCCTTTGAAACACCGTATGAGTGCTAAGTTCAGTGTCAAAGGCCTTGAGTTCAAATCTCAGCCTGACCTTAGCATGTCACGAGCCCTGGAAGAGGCTTCCGGAAGTCTGGAGCTCCAACGCCCTCGTGTTTTCTTCCAGATGAAATTCTGACTGACGGGTCCACAGGTCCCAGCCCAGTAGGGAAGGCTCTCTGGCCTCTGGAACCAAATCACCCCTCCTAACATCCTCGCTCATGAGCTGGCAGGCCTCACACCTCTGGACTCAGTTTCCCCACTTGCACTATCGAAGGTTTAAATTGTGTTTTTCAAGCTTCCCGAACAGCTTTGCGATGCTCCAGCTCTTAGCTGGGCTAGACATTTCAATATTGATGGAAAACAGCTTGTGATTTTTCAATCTTGTCAGTTATTGCAAATTTAAATAAAAATCATCTGGGGGCAACATAGGCTGCCTCTCCATCACTACTGCTGCAGTTATGTGACATTTGTTATCCTGGCTCAGCTTCAAACTCTTCGAAGCTCAAGCCTGTTGTAGGCTGAGGCTCAGCACTGAGCACCCTACTTTATCTCCACCCCCAATGTGGGGCTTGTTCTGTCCCCTCTAATCTTAGTACTTCCTCGTCCCAGGCTGCATGTTTCTTCAAACATGACCTTAAACACCTTTGTTTTTTCCCCTTTTTAAACAGTAGGAGATGTGAGTTGTGTGGCCTGTCTGAATAGAAAGATTCTGACTCTGGGGTAGGAAAGGGAGATGATGAATAAGTTAGGAGGATGAATGAATATGTTTCCCCTGAAGATCCCCATAGCAACCTTAGCTTGTACATAACAGGAAGTGAAGCAAGTCAGGCAAGCATACCTGGCCTATGTCAATGGCAGGATTTATACTGCAGCCAACATCCATGACGATGTCTGTCCTGATGTTCTAGTAATTAAAAAAAAAGTTAGAATGTTTACTGTGATGAACACCACAGTATACTTCAGGAGAAAGAAGCAACATTGTATGACACCACATGTATTATGTATGAATTTCAGAGTTCTACAAATACTCTTACCCAGCTTAACCACCGATAGTTTTTATTGGAAACAACAGGAGAGGGAAATGCTGACTTGGCTTTGGTTCCAGCTGAGTGATGTAACATACCGAGTTCAAGCCAGTGCATGACATGAGTCATGACACAGAAAACAGAAAACCCTCTGTGGCCCTCAGGGTCCTCGTTGCGAAACTTTGTGGTGACTATACAACCCAACACCCAGCTGGCTGCTTGCTGTGTCCTAGATCACAGAACTCAGGTTGCATCAGCAAAAAGAGTCTTTCAGTTGTTAATCTGCTCTTCTAGATTTTTCAGTTTTAGAGCTGAAGAGACAGTAAATCTAACATTGAAACTTGGTGACTAAAAATTCTCCATAACTACCAATGAGGAGCCGGGCTGCTGGCACACCTTGGCTCTCCGGTGAGTCTGCACCGCCTCTGATGGGACATGGTGGTTTCATAATGGCTAACAGATTCTGCTCATAACTGTTAACTGGATGAAGGAAACCCAAGAGTGTCCTTATTTGAAGAGGGTCTTTCAGCTGACATTTTTCTTATGAAAATCAGAGTGATCTGGAATGTCCCACTATAATAAAACATCAGGCCCTCATCTCTCTTATATAAAGACAGAATGAAGTGTCAAGTTCTCTTGACATCAGTCAGTAAGGCTGGCCATCCATGAGACCCGTGGCCCCCATTGGAGGGGAGGTGGGTACTCTCAAGTCTGCCGTGTGAGTGAAGCTTTATTTTCAAAGCTGTGAACTTATTTTCAAAGCTTTATTTTCAAAGAGTGGCTTTAGGTTGTGGTTGCCAGCCTCCAAGATGGCCCTAAATGACCCCCACACCTTGGCATCATAAGGATGAAGCCTTCTGTGGTTCCTTCTGATATTTTACCAGGATGGGTTTACATGACCAATAGGATATGGCAGAAGTAATCGTATGCCACCCCAATATTTGGCTATAAAAGACTGTGGCTTCTGTCTTGTTAGCTGATTAGGGGTGCTTATGAAATCCTTCAAGAATGTCATATGATGGCATTTCACCAACGTGGTCACCATTGCCAGCTGTCCCCACAGTCTACATGGAGTCCCTTGAAGTGGCTTCTTTCTTTAGTCCAGTAAAAGGGCCAGGGAAGTAAAGAAGAGAGGCCACTGGTTGTTTTCCATGGGAGCAATCATAGCACCAAGGGAAATGCTGAGCTTCTAATTTCCCCTGATAATACAGAGAATTGTCTTCAGGCCAAATTCCTGGTGCTTTTTGGTGCTCGGTAGAGGGGTATGTGGGACTGAGGTGCATCCAGCTTGCAGCCCTGAGACGCTCCCTATTGGTACTGACCTTATAAGCGCCTGTCAGGCAGTCTATTTCAACCTCGGAGCAGGCGGCTCCATAAACGAAGTATTCGAAGGGATGGCCTTCGCCTGTCTCCCAGTTGATGTCAGATTCGTAACCCCTGGAGGAAAGAGAATGCTTGAGGAATGTTGTAATTAGAGCTGAGCTCGATTTGTATGCCCAACCAGATGAATAGCATGTGCAATGATATGCCCACACATACATGCAATAAATATGTTGAATAAATCAATATTTACTTCCTCCTAATTAAATTTGTTTTGCCAATTTTTCCCTACCAATGACTCCAAATTTGAAACATCCAATTTTTCCCTACCAATGACTCCGTAGGCCAGGAAGTTAACTGCTGAAGTATAATTATCCACCCCATTGCTTTGAGCTAATATTGGCTCAGATAATCCCCTAATCATCAGATTGGGGAATTCCACCTGCTTCTTACACAACACACTACTTCAAAGGTTCACACTGACCTGTTTATTTGTCTTTCTGGCCCCAGGAATTAGCCTCCTGTGTGAAGGATAAGGCACCCCGGCTATCTCTCTCTTGCTTTGAGACTGCTCCCATCTCCCACCATCAACCCATCTTCTAGGACACCAAATGCATGTCCACCTTCAACCCATCTTCTAGGACACCAAGTGAATGGCTGGTGGAAGAGAGGGAGAGCCAGCAGCTTTCCAGGACTTCCTACCCCTTTCTCCTGCTTCCCCAACCTGGAGGTGGCCCTTACAGATGCTTCCATGCTCAGCCTCCATAACCAGACAGGGCCTGGGACTCCCCGGACAACTGGCCAGCGGTCCAAATCAGGCCAGCCTGCTCTCTGATGGCTTCCACTTTCCATTTGAATAATCAGATAAATTGTTTTTCCAAAGCATGTGAGTTCCACTTTCCCCACATCTTGATAACACAAAGTTATTATCACATCTGATCTTTTGCCAAGCTGGAAAGCGTCAATGCTGTTTATCTTATTGTGGGTTTGATTTGCATTTTTTTCACTTTTGTTTTTGAACTTAAGGAATACACTGAGTTTTCAACAAAAGGTCAGCCACTGCTGTAGGTTCCTGTCAGTGCCCTTCATTACCCCCAGAGAACCCTCTGGAGCAGTGGTTCTCAACCTTCCTAATGCCGCGACCCTTTAATATAGCTCCTCATGTTGTGGTAACCCCCAACCATACAATTATTTTCGTTGCTTCTTCATAACTGTAATTTTGCTATTGTTATGAATCATAATGTAAATATCTGTGTTTTCCGATGGTCTTAGGCGACCCTGCTAGCAACCCACTGCTATAGAGCCTAAGACCATCAGAAAACACAATTATTCACATTATGATTCATTACAGTGCAAAATTACAGTTATGAAGTAGCAACGAAAATAATTTTATGGTTGGGGGTCACCACAACATGAGGAACTGTACTAAAGGGTCTCGGCATGAGGAAGGTTGAGAACCGCTGCTCTAGAACTACCCAGTAGGATCCGAATCATTGATTCAGCTGTATTTTATTTCCGGGCCTATTTTCCCCAACAACAGCCTTTCTGGGCATTTGGAAGAAGTGGCAGCTAAACGTTCTTTATTACAGTGGGCCACTAGAAGGTACAGTTGGTGCCACAGCTGCAAACAGAAGTGAACCGCTTCCTCCAGATGCCCCTGCCGCTTTCAGAGACAGAAAGGACGGTTACCTGAAGTATCCGGTGGCCGAGAGGCTGATGCTTTGGTTGAAAGCCGCCTGCGCCTGGGGAAGAGAGGTGTTGGGACACAATGAGGCTGTTTCAATCTGAATCACTGGAAACTTCCATCTTAACTTCAGTATGTTAAATAAAACTCTCACTGGTAATAACTATGAAGAATCAACATCAATTTATTCCTTTCGGCATCCTCCATCTACACCGGCACGTGTGGTTCACTGGTTGTGGTGCAACACCTGTTCAAGGTATGTCACTGTCATCAATGATGCCAGGCATGCTACATGTATAGCCTGGACTGTGCTGGGCAGCACATAGTCTGCTCATAAAGACTTTCGCTCAGTCAGCTGGAAAGACTAAGCCTATTAACACGGAACATTTCAGGAAACAATGGGTGGTTGCATGTTTCATTTTAAAATCATGTATCCATAATAGTCCTAGGAGAGAGACAATATTGTGCTAAGTTGTACCATTTGAAGCAAACGTTCTCCTGACTTTGCAGCGCACACAGGTGACTAATAGATGGAAAAATGGGGGTTAGATCCAAGTCTGAGAAAGAAAATAGGAGAAGTGCAACCATCCAGCAGAAGTGGGCTGACTGGCAGAAAGTGAGCCTCTTGCCCCGCATCTCACCACAGTGCGATGGCGTTTCTTCAACTAGCCTTCCGGGCCCAGGCAGCACAGGCAAGAGGGCAGAATAAATGTTCCCCAAAGGGACCGAGCTCTCCCATAAATGTGAGTTATAGAGCGAGTCCTAACCCGATGGAATAGAAGAAGCCATTTCTAAGTATGACTCCCCAAATGTTATTTCCTCCAGACCTATGCTTCTAATATGACATGCTAGAGCTGTCATCATGGTACACACTCCAGGTCTCTGTTGATAGCCATTCCACTTCACCTGGTGCTTTACAACCTATTCCTCAGGAAAATTTGCTGGTTGACTTTAAATGGGTGTTTTCTCTTCCAACTACCTCACACATAGATCAAAGGAAGCAGTTAAATATTTCCACTCCATATCAACTATTGAGTATATAGCCAATGACTTGCTTTCCTATTTTTAAATAAGTGTTCACATGGTGTTTAGCTTTATAGAAGAGGAACTGGGAAGTGTTTTCTTCCTATTTTAGGAACAGCGGAACCCAAAGAAGGGGAACAAACAGATTTACAGCTATTATCTAGAAAACACCTTAATTCTTGCTTAAACTAGGAGTTCTGATAGGGAGTAGAGTTAGTAGTATTGTAATTACTATGAAGGATGTCAGATGAATACTAAATTTATCAGGATAATTACTTTGTAAGTTATAGAAGTGTCAAATCACTATGCTGTAAAAAGTTTAGACTATATGATTTTATTTTTATAAAACTGTAGACAAATCAAATTGATCTCCAATGACAAAAAGCAGATCAATATGTTTGGGGATTGGGGGGGGGGCATGGGAGAAAGGGATTAGTGGGAATGGAGCACAAAGGAACACTGCCTGTCTTTTGGGGGTGATGGGTATGTTCACTCTCTCACCGATGGCGATGGTTACATATACGTACCCATCTGTCAAAACTTAACAAATTGTACACTTTAAATGTGTGCAGTTTATTGTAGGTCAATCATACCTCAATCAGTAAAGATATTTAAAATAAAAATAATAAACATATTAAAACATCTTAAAAAGAGTTCTAGGTAGAAAACCATCTTTTTCTCTGATAAAGGATTTTCCCAGATGTAGATCCTTCCATCATCCTGTGTTACGATTCCACGTGCCAGGAGCCCACGGGCCTCTGCTTACCCTTCATAACTACAGCACCTGCTATATGCTCTTCCTACGCTATGTAGTTCATACATGTCTCCTTCATGCCCCCTCTTTCATTCTAACGAAAAATGCAAAGTGCTTCTCACCCAGTCCCTCCAAGTGCCTCGAGGATTCTTGCTGATGATGGGCTCCAGGCGCTTTAGGAGAGTTTGGCAGGCATCCTAGGGATTATTTTTTAGTTAAAATTATAATCGTAATTTCACGCACACACCAACATCAACACTTCACGGCATTGTATAAAAACAGGCTATTTGAGAGGCCCAAGGATCACAGAGAAGGAAGAGACCCATCCTGTAAGAGGTGATGTGACAGGTCTCATGGGGGTGGGCTGGCGTGTGACAGCCTAGGCTGGGGCCACGTGAAGAGGTCAGGGCTTCACAGGAAAACTGCTGCCAGACCACCAGCCACTGTTTTCAAGCCCAGCCTGGTCAGGTTTACTCTGTGGCAGCATGAACCCAGGTGGAAGGCATGTAACTGGGGCCCAGAAGGAGCCCTAAGTGGCCATAGCAGGGGCAGAAGTCTGAACCCAGCAACTATGGTAGCAGATCAGGGCAGTGGAGATGTCTGTGTCATCAGACCAGGGCGTTTTTTGTGTGGAATTGAAATGACCTGAACACCAGTGAGATGACAGGAGTGAGCGAGGAGAAAAGGCGGCATTTCCAGCTCAGAGCGCCTGGAGCTTCACCACTGAGACGGGAAAAAACTTTCCACCAAGAGGGTGTGGGGAGTGGATCAGAGCTGGATTAATTCCCAGCATCTTCCGAGTGCCACCTGCGTATTGGTCCTGATGGAGCTAACGATCTGGATGGCACAGCAACAACTCTTACCTTTACTGCCATCCCGTTGAGATCTGCTGTAACGGAGCCCCCGGAGATATTCGTATTGGGGATGGTTTCCGTGCTGGTCCCACGCAGGTGGATATTGGACAGTGGCATCCTTAACTCACGACTGGCCACCTGGATTTTAGAAGAGAGTGGTTTTGTTTTTCCCAAATACTTTGGTGAGTCACATACCCTTGCACGTGCCCACAGGGTAGCCCTGGTGGGAAGCCCTGATTTGCCCACTGGGGACCGGCGGGCAGAAACACAAATCCTTCCAGCCGCATGAACTTCCTCTGTATAAAAACCCATGGCTAGTCTGGACCCCAAGTCCTGTGCACATGTTCTTTGTCTCTGACTGTCTCGTGTGCAATAGCATCAGGAAGGGGAAGCAATGCCCGGTAGGAAGAAGTGCTTTATGTCTTTGTCATCATGAAATCAGCACCGTTGAGGCCTCTCCGACGCTGCACTTTGCAAAACTGAAGAAGAGCCGACCTTCTCAGAGAGGAGCTGCCCTCCCCCCAGTTTCTGGAGAAGCTGCAGGAAAGAGCACTTCTGAGAAAGAACAGTGGAGGCTCGTTAAAGCAGCAGCACCAACGTGATCTCAAAGGAGACGGTGCCAGGGTCGCTGGCCAGCACAGGACTTAGCTGGCTGCTGTGTTCTTCCTTTGTTTCTAGTGCTGGGAGGCAAAATCATATTGCTAGCTGCAGCTCATCCAAAATTCTCTTTCCTGCAAGCAGTATAGCTTCGTAGAATTCGCTCATAGCTGTGATAAGGCCATGGCCACAGGGAGTCCTGCTATACCACTGACTTTCAGAAGATCGTCTACATGAAATGCATCAGCTCAGACGTAAAGGTCTGGTGGCCCATTGAAGAAAACAAAACAACCCCCAAATGAGCAAAGATATGACCAGACAATTCTCAAGTGACTGATCACATGAAAGAAAATGTATAGTCAATATTTCTCTACTCGGAAAAATGCAAATTAAAGCAATAATGAGGTACTATCATTCACCTATCAGTTTATCTACAATTTTAAAACAACCCATAGCATATAACGTTGGTTAGTGGTGTAATGAGATGGCTACTTTCTAGAAAACAAGTTAGTAATATGTGGCAAATGATTTAAGGCACACTCTGTGACCAGTAATTCCTTTTCTGAGAATCTAAGAAAACATTCATTGATTTGATCACAAAATATGTAAAAATATTCACTGAAATGTTGAACAATCGGGGAAGTTAAATAAATAATATAGACAACCCCATGCAGCCATTATAAGTCGTGAGGCAAAGGATTCAAATGCCAGGAGACAGGGCTCTCTCTGTGGAAATAAAGGTGAAAAACCAGGGTACAAAAGTCTATACACAGCATGTTGGCAATTATCAGAAAAAGAAATAGGTCAAGCCCAGTCAATGTGACTCAGTGGTTGAGCGTCGAGCTATGAACCAGGAGGTCACAGTTCAATTCTCAGTCAGGGCACATACCCAAGTTGAGGGCTGAAGCCCCAGTGTGGGGCATGCAGGAAGCAGCCGATCAATTATTTTCTCTCATCATTGATGTTTCTATCTCTCTCTCCCTCTCCCTTCCTTTCTGAAATCAATAAAAAAATATTACTTTAAAAAAAAGTCAAGATGGGAAAGGACCCAAAACAGTAATTATTGCTAAATGATGGAATTGTGTAAGAATTATTTGCCTCTTACAAATGTTTTATAACCTCTATTATTGCTAGTCTGATTAGCAAAATAGAAACAGTACCTAAAAATTAATCTAAAGTAAATGAGCCATGAGAAAACTGGTGAAGTTTGATTAGGAAATATCACATGTGATTTATAGTATCCATTTTTTTAAGAGTCCTTACTGTGAAAAAGCCAGAAATCATGTGGTACATCAGAATTTACACATCTTCCTATTTTTTCCAGCAAAGGTTTAAAAAAGACAACTCACTTGTTCTTATATCCAAAGGACAGTGGCCAATTACCACACAGCCTAGTTCAGCAATGAGACAACTCAGGACCCTTCTGCCACCTCTTTTTAAGAGGGCCCGTTACAAACTGGATGGTTAACCCAGTTTCTGCTCAGAGCTTCACTGTGGAAATGGATGAAGCTACAGCCCCCTCTCCTTTTGACTTTGGAACTGAGAATGTGTATGCACGGTTTCTCTCACAGGCACGCCCCACTTCACCCAGCGGTCTGCGTCCTTACCTGAATCATTTTCGTGTGGACCCCCTGCCCCATTTCAATTCCTCCGTGAGTCACCATCACAGACCCATCCAGATAAATGTGGACCAGGGCAGCAGCCTAAGCAAAAAAAGATACAAACAGCTCCCATGATCCTCTGACTGACATTATCGTATGTCTTATCAATGAAAACATTTTCTCTGGAAATGATCCCTTCCCTTCTATCACCTGCCAAAAATATACATAGACACTTTTCCTGGACACTTTTCGTGTCACACCGAGAGCACTGCACAAAGCCAGGGCAATGCTGGACCCCCTCAGGATCACCCACGAGAGGCCAGAGTGTTGCTGGGTAGCTTTGAGTCTGGGGCAGGACCCTGCTCCTTGAGAGACTATGTCCTTAGTGGGACAATTGAGGTTACAGGCTGGTGCCTTTCAAGGATTCCCCCAATGTGGGTAGAGTGATGACATAGGTTTGGGGAGGGGGCTTGTCAGTTCTAACAAGAAAAGTTAAAAGTAGATAGAGGAAACGGGAGAGGAATTATTTATGTGAACACATAGTCCCACAGGTGTAGGTTTCTATAGAGAAGCCAAAATGAAGATCCAAGTAAGATGAAACGGGCAATTTTTTCACTGCAAAGTGAGCTAAGCCCACTCTAACTCGTCTTGACAGAATTCTGGAGCTTCAGTTGAAAGGGAACTTGGAAGTGAACTTATCTAGCTGTACAACTCCCCACGGCGATCCAGAAGGAAGCAAACTGCTAACAGAATGAAAGGCAGCTGCAGTCAGAAACATCCAAACTCTATGCTAAACATGTTTACAATCAACAGGAATATGCTGTCTTGCAAGTCCGCTCATGCTAAACCAGGGAGCATGGAGACAGCACAGGAGACAAGACAGCATTCTTGGGTTGCATCTCCAGTGTAAGAGCAATATTAATGCGAATCATTTTTATGAAAGGCCCCTAGCACTGTGCTCAGCAAGGCCTGCAAGGCACCCCATGCAGCGGCTCCTCGGGTGCAGGCTGGAGTGGCCAGAGTCACATAGAGCTCTATCGGCCAGTGTCTTAGCATCTAAGCTTTGGTCAGAGGGGTGCAGTTACCTAGGATTTGTAAAGGCGGGGCCTTCAGGAAATTCTGTAACAAGCTCTTTCCCAACTACTAAAGCTGTAATCTGAGGAAGGCTTTATGACTTACTGAGATGACTTATAAACAACCCTGGTCCTACCCAAAGTCGATGGACTCGCGTGTCCATCACCAGATCCCTCCCAAGGAGAGGATTGCATTCCTGACAGTGGGAATGGGCCATCCCCTGGTCCCAGTGCAAACTAGGGAAGCATGGGGACAAAGGGACATGGTTACCCTTTCTCTAGGGACAAAGGCACCTACATTCCCAGCCCAGGGGAGAATTCCGGAGCCTTAAGGAAGGCATGGTGCCATAATAACCAGCCCAGGGCCTCGGGGAGGTACAGCAGAGTGTGGTTTACTGTCTGTTGACACACTGTTCCTGGGAACGCTGTCTTCTGCTCCTGGCCATTTATTCTCCAAATAATAAAGACAAGGTGTGGCTTGCTCTATGGAGAGCCCAGAGCTGGCTGCCCTGGGGGCGTGCATTGGATGCCAGCTGGTGCTCGACATTGGCTGCTCTGGGACTCCATCCTATGGCACCTCACTGTGCTCTGCTGGAACGTGAGCTCTGAAAGAAGAACCGGGGTCCTGGGGCAGCCCTTGGAATGCAACATGGCCTCTCATACCCTGCCAGCAATCGATAAAGGTTTGATAAGTGAATTTGCAACAGCATGGCCTGCGGTAGGCATGGCAGCTATCTCTGCTTAATGGTTGCCGTCACTATCTGTTTCTTGAGCTTGTGGGCTCTGTGTTTGGTGTCCGTTGCTCCACTGGGCATGTCAGATGTGGTGAGAGAAGATCGCAGCTGGCGCCTGAGGCTGAGGAGTGGTTGGTGCCTCTCTCACACTGTGTGGCCTGCTGGCAGCGGCGCTCTGCCCTCGGGCCCAGGACAGCATTCCCATCAGGGGCTGCCGAATTACCCGTTCCACCTGCTACTGCAGGCTCCTAGAGCCTTTTCAAATGTCAAATTTGGTTTCGTGAAATGGCACCACCGGATGGTTCACTGTGAGCCCCGCAAAAGATAATTCCACAGAGCTTCACCCACGCAATCGGCACACCTGGAGAGCTAGAACAGACGGCTCTGCGGGATAAACGGGACTGTGTGGTGACATTTAAATCTTCAAGCTGTGACTGCCGATGTTGGTGAGATGCTGGCTTTAATCCCACAGATCCCCAGATGTCTGAGCCATTCAAACATGTGAGTTTGAGTTCCTGCTCTGCACCAGGCTCCATTCCAGGACACAGGGAAGACAGAGGTCACTTAGCTTCCGTGTGTCCTTTGTGATGAAATATAAAGCAGGTAAGGTATGCTTGAGCTCTCTGCTGAGGGGAGCACAGGCTATTTCTGTTCAGGGATGAATGATAAAGGCATTCCTGTTCTCTCCCCACCCCCCCAATCCTGAAGTCTGATCCCTGCTCTGTCACTCACTGGCTGGATGTCCTCGGGCCAGAGAGCGAACCTTTATGGGCGCCGTTTATAAAATATGATCACACCTGCCCAGCAGACAGGGGCTCAGTCAAGTGGGAAATTATAGATCATTCAGCCTCAGGCCTGACACACAGAAGGGGCTGGAACATCATTTCTAGCTCCCTCCTGCTTGGCTGGTAGCCCTTCAGCATCTGGCACTGGGAAGCAGCCAGCTGATCCCGATGCTGTGAGTGAGCCCTGACTGATGTTTTAAACATGGGCGCTGGTTAGTTTCCGGGGGCTGGGGAGGGCCTGGTGGCTGGGCCAGCTCCTCGGTGGCCTCTGAGAATGAAGTTGTACTGGTGGCTGCTGTCTGGTTTCTTCCCAGCTGAGCCGAATCCCACCTCAGTTTCCACGGAAAGGCTGAGAAAGCCCTGCTTCTGGCCCCGAGCCCTCCTCCCAGCAGCTGGGGGACTCAGGCAATTCATTTAAGCTCTGGGCCTCCGTTTCTCATCGCCAAGATAAGGCTACAAATCCCACAGGTTGACCTGAGGGTTGAATGCGATAAAATCTAAAAGCACTTATTTATGGTTGACAGTAGTGGGTGCTTAGCCATCCTCATTATATTTTAAACCTAATTTTTTGAGAAATTCCTGATGAGGGAAATGAGACAGACCTGGTCCACCAGAGGCCAGATGTTAAGTGATGACAGCCATTAAGCAGAGACAGCTGCCGTGCCTACCACAGCCTATAGCCCATGGATCTTCCTACAACCCACAAACGAGGCGGCTGTTGTCCTGGGATTCCAGCCAGCCTGCACCAGGACAGCAGTCCAGACTGGCTGCCAGCTACTGGAGAATCAGTTTCCCCAAAACTGTACCAAGACTTCCTGCTCACTACTCCTTTTCTAGTGGCAATTTCCCTGCCTCCCTTTCGAATAATCTTGGTTTTGTCTTTATTCCTCAATCTCAGCCTCTTGACTGTCCCCCTCATCTGGGTAAATTGGATGCAGATGAGTAAACGACTCTGTGTTGTTTTTGTCATCACAGACAGACAAGTGATGGTTCAGCTATGATAAGATCACCCCTTGTCGTGTCACATTGCTCCTCTGGGTGAATCCAGCTACAATCAAAACTGCATGAGACGTTCTAATGATTACACCGAATCTGAACCAGGATGGGCAGGTGAACAGGTGACTATGAGGATGAGGGAAGGACCTTCCCACACACTTCTCTTAGCCTCCTCTACTCCCTCAACTCCCAGCCTACACACTAGTGCCTCTCACAGACCCACCCCCATTTATCAGTCTTCTGTCATCACTCAGCACACCTGCCACCTCTTCATTAGGCCTCAGCCAAAGGTTAATAACCGCAAAGGGGAATGACAATCATATTGAGGGCTCTGCCATCTTATTCATTTATATACTAGTGTATTATCTATATGAATATAGATAATAGGGTCCCAGATCACATCTATAGAATGAGCATGGAGAGACCAGTCCTTCTTCAGTTCTTCAGGGTAAGTTGCATTCAAGAAGGAAGAGATGGCAATAGTAAGTGAGATCTAGCAACCAAGCAGGGAGTTTATATAGTAATGAAAGAAATTAAACTATAAGAATAGATTTTCAGTCTTCCTCTACACACTTTCAATGGCTATGAAGTGAATAAATTGCTAAAATTGTGTTCTAAAAATTATTTAAATGATCTGCTTATCATTTAGTTTACCCCAACCCACCAAAACAAATGCCTTGTAGCTGCCTGTTTCTATGTCACAGCCCAGAGACACCGAATCGCAGAGGAGTTGAAAGAAGAGTCTTGGCAGTCACTGGTCTTGGCACCTTTGGGGCCAAATGAGTTGACTCAGCTGCTTCCTACTAGGGCCAGGAGTAGAAACTGGGTCTCCCAATTTCCCAGGAGGGATGCTTGTCACTAACCCTAGGGATGTGGGCAAAGAGGCTCTGGTCTCCTCTAGAGAAAAGCCAGTTTGATTGAGCACAACTTTGGTGACATTTAATGAGCAGATAGTGCAGCCATATAGCTAATTCACCTCCACGGAAAGTTTCCCGAACACCTTTTCATCTGTCTGTTTGGAGAACTGACCTGACCAGCAGCCTTGGAGCAAAGGCCAACAGGAAACTTCACAGGGACCATGGCCAGCCCCTTCTTCTTCCAGGAATTCTCCGAGTTGAATTTGTCCACAGCCGCTTTCCTCAGGGAGTAGGAAGACATAGCCATACATTCTTTCCAACACTGGATCAGGACTTTGGCATTAATCTCTTGTTTGTAGTGTGTTTGATCAATTTCCTTGTACATGTTTATTGTTCGGACCTATAAAAGGGAAGGAGATGAAAATGATGAGGGTGAGGGGACTTGGCAGACACTCTTCCATCCACTGTCCTCTTAGTCAAAATCTGCTCATCCCGTAAGGCCCAAACTGAGTTCAATGTATGCCTCATTGAAGCCTTTCCCAACATATAACAGTCTCTTCTACTCGGAGCCTTTGACAAATGTTAGCACTTCCATGCTGCCCATGTTGCTCTTATATAAGTTAAGGGAAAGCATCCTTTCCTTGTGCTTCTCAAAGAACTAACCCAATGCAGGTGCACTGTGGACTCTTGATACTGGATGAATAATTGCTGAAGGGTAATCCCAAATGATCTATATGATTCAGATGATACAGATGCTGTGGCAAGATAAGATCATTTCCTTCCAAAAGGAAAACGTGAAAGTTTGTTTACATATAATCCACAACTAGGGTGAAAAACCAGTGAAAAGGTTCAACCCCAGGATATTTGAAGCACCGAGTAGAATTCTTCCTGAATTCCCAGAGTTGGAGACTAAGACCCACAGCTGAGAATGAAAGGTCAAGTACTTCACGTTCTCAGTGGAGAAAACTCGGCAGCTGAGGCCTCAAGCTGACAAGGCCATTACACACATCTAGTCTCCCTATATTTTTAAAAAAATTCCCGGATCATTATAAAAAGATCACTGGAAGTTAGTGAGCTGTGCCATTTTGGGCAAGGCAGTTTAAAAAAAAAAGTACATTTTTTATTGATTTCAGAGAGGAAGGGAGAGGGAAAGAGAGATAGAAATATCAATGATGAGAGAGAATCATTGATTGGCTGCCTCCTATGGGCCACCTACTGGGGACTGAGCCCAAAACCCAGGTATATGCCCTTGACAGGAATCAAACCCAGGATCCTCCAGTCTGCAGGCTGACACCCTGTCCACTAAGTCCAACAGGCTAGGGCTAAGGCAATATTTTTAAAAGTCGCTATTCTTTCCTTCAACTTCCCCTGGAGATGAAAGGCAGTCATTATCTGATGTTCTTCCCTAGCACTGCCAAGTGTGACAGAGCATCGGTCATGTTGCCCGATGGCCAGGAAGGGTCCCCCACAAGTTCAAGAGACATGAAGATGACTCCTGCCTGTGGTCACAGGTTCTCAGGCTGTGGGGGAGAGAAGTTATGGGCTTTCTAGGTATGGCTGCAGCATGGGACACAGGGTCATGGGCATCAGGGGATGTCACATGAGGGGGCAGTTAAAGGGCAGGTGAGATTGAACTCCCCCTCATCGATGACTCTCGATTTTCAAGAGAACTGGCAGAAATGGAGCCCAGATACAAGATGCTTTTGAAGTGGCTGCATCTAACCAAGAAGAAGACTGAGATCTGGCAGGGAGCAATCCCACGGGCGCAGATGCTGCCTGTTTCCCTGGCTCTCCCTTCCTCTTGCACCAACATTGCAGCATAAGACCCAGGGAGAAGGGGCAGAGAGCACCAAGTCCCCCATCTCACTCTACTCCAGGACCTTGGGTGGGAGAGTTGCAGGGAAGGGCACAGAGCTGGAATGAGGAGTGGAGACTGAGACTGGGAGAACTGAGGAGACCATTGTGAATGAAGGACTGGAACTTGCCTGAGACGCTGAAGGAACGAGGAAAGAAGGGGTGACAGAACCTGTCGGTAACAATTACACCCCAACCAGCGGAGACTTCTCACTAAATGAGTTAGAATCCAATGCTCACTTTTCAATATCTCCTAGGCCCCAGGATTTATTTATTGGTTAGAAAATGGTTTTTGCAATAATACATCAGAAATATGATACGCTTTAAAGGAGATTTCCTTGTTGTATTAAAACTTCTAATAGAATTTTGGGCTTTATGCCTGGAAGACACAGTAATGATTAACCTTCTGGATTCCCCATTTTATAACCAAGAAAAATGGGTAGAGGATTTTTATAATTTTTTAAATAAATCTTTTTTTATAAATTTTTTATTTATGGTTCACAGTATTACAGATGTCTCCCATTCTCTACCCCCGTTTTCCTGTCCCCAAGATTTTTGAGAAGCACCCTGAGTGGAACAAGGATCACTGAACTGGGGGTCCCTGGTGAGTTGGGTTACCCAGGGCAAATCACTTAGCACCAACAGGCCTTGTCCTCCTCAGCATGAATGACCCCCAATGGCCCTCCTACCTTGAAAAGGTATCTTCTGTGTGTGGGACTGACTTAGTCTTACCTCCTCAGGGGACAAGCCACACTTGGCTGCCACATCCGTGATGCAGGCTTCGGTGATCAGCCCTGCCTGCGGGAAGCCGAACCCACGCAAGGCCGTGTTGGATGGCAGGTTGGTTCTGCACGCCCACCCTCGGCAGCGCAGGTTGGGGAACTTGTAAGCATTATCCAGCTTCAGGAGTCCCATTTCCACCACCTGAGAAAACACAGAGCTGATGTGAGGAGACTTCACCCTCTGTCCCTGTTGCACCATCCTGAGAGCTCAGAAATGTCCAGCCCCCTCTCCATCACATCAAATGTGCTCAAACAGATCCAGAGCTCAGCTTCAATGCATCTTTGCTGTAAAATAATATTTAGGGATTTGGATAATTTTTGTTCTGAAATCATTTTTTATTTTCATATTTTAGAGCAAATGCATTTTTCCCCCCAGGTTTCAAACATTTCCAAAAGTCTGTGAAGCATGCATAGGCCCAAACCACTGAACCCCTAGAATGTACTGAATATGAATTGTATCCTAGAAAACAGGGAAAAAAATGTTTGGGCATTTGGATGAACGCATTGGTTCTCAATGAGGGGCAAGTTGGCCCTCTTTCCCCCTGGGAATGTGGCAGTGTCTGGAGACATCTTTGGTTGCTTAGGAGGGTAGCTGTGCCACAGAAATCTGCTGGGTAGAGGCCAAAATACCACCAAACACCCCACAATACACAGGACAGCCCCCACCATAAAGAACTATCCAGTCCCACGTGTCAGGAGGGCTGAGGTCTAATGCTCGCATCTGGGGAAAGAGCTGGGAGTTTCGGAAACATGGGGATAGCAGCACACAGTTTCAGACTTAGCCAATATCTTCAGGCTCACAGTGGGGCACCAATATCATCTGGCTATCCCTGCAAGGAGGGTCTTTATGCTTTCAGATTGAAATACAGGTGGCTACTAGAAAATTTCTAGATCAAACCACTTTATATAACACTTCCCACAATGTGAGCTTGCTCCTTAAAACACTTACAAGTAGTGACTCGTCCAGGGTGGCGCCTCCATTGCTATAGTGCTCCATGTCCAGGGCCAGGATCCTGCCGTCCTTCGTGAACCCCGCCTGCGGAGAGAGAACTGGCCTCTGACACCCCAACCTTGGCGTGTGAAGGGCCATATCTAAGTGTGCTCTGTCACTTGTGAAAAGCCTCATCACATTGGATTCAGTAGTGATTTCTTGGATATGACGCCAAAAGCAGAGGCAGCAAAAGAAAAGATGGGTAAACTGGACGACATCAAAATTTAAAAATTCTATGGATTAAAGGACACAATCAACAGGGTGAAAAGACAACACAGAGGGTGGGATAAAATAATTGTCAATCGTATATGAGTTGAAGGGTTAACATTCAGGGTGTATACAGAACTAATTCAACACAACAGCAAAACAACAAACAACCCGATTAAAAAATGGACAAACTTGTTTCTTACAAAGCAAAATAATAATTATTTTCTGCTATGAAAAATTTTCTGGGACAGTTCTATGAAATTACCCTGATATGCCTAAAAATGAAGAACCTGTTGGCAAATCATTATAATTTCACATAGCACTCTTGTTATGGGAATCATTCTATTTTTAGCTCTTTTTATGGGTGGAAATAGTATGCTTATCAGATCTACTTTCATGGACTTATACACTCATATTTTTTTCCAGTTATTCCCTCTGGACCAACGAGCACTTTTCACAAATTGTCATCTATGAGCGAAGCAGCAAAGCTCCAGTTCTACCAGCCAGTAACCAAGCAATTAGCACAAGAAATAGTTAAACAGAAGCCCAGTGAGTTGGTTTGCTCACTGTTATTCCCCATTACAGAGTAGCCATGTGCTACCCTCTGCACTTAGGGAACGTTACGACGTGAGTAAACATACAACACGCTCCTCCCTCCCTCCTTCTACTCACTTTGTACTTCCCAAGGTAAGGGTGGCGGCCTGCCGTTATTAACATGTCTTCTCCCCGCTCCAGGACGCAGCGGACGGCACGGCCATGTCTAACAGAGAAAAAAGCCAGGGATGTAGATGCCACATGGGTATCCTCCAGGGTTTATGGAACCCCTTGTGATGGCTTGAACGGCATGCACACGCATGACAGAGCAGAGCTGCTCTCTGAGCCCAGGCTGTGTCCATCTCAAGTGCACACAGCTGGTCAGGGCGCCATGGCTGGCATGCACTGTTTATGGGAGGCGGGTTCAGGGGTGCTCCACAGTATTGCTCTGGGGGTATTTCCCCCATGCCAACAACCTCCAACAGAGGCAAAGCGTCCAAAGACCAGTTCCCAATGGAGGTGCTCCCGGAGAGGACAGGCCTGGAATCAAGGCCTTTTTGTGTCACGGGATAAAGGACCTGACTATACTCGCAGCACAGAAAGGGAGCCTTTAGGAGGACCTGCTCAAAGCGAATTCCTATGGAAATAGGTGAGCTTCTTGAAGACAAAAGGTAATTTAAACAAAGGTAAGCAAAACAAAAGCAGAACCTCCACTTAAGTCAAGGGAACACACACACACACACACACACACACACACAGTGTCCTCAGGCTAAGTAAGCTCCACCATTTCAGGACCTGTTTCTGTCTGCTCTCCAGATAAACACTTCAGAATTTTCACTGTGGCTTTTTATTCTTTTCAGTAATTGATTCTCATTTTGGTTCTTTCAGTATGTAGTTTGACAATATAAGATTTTTAAAAAGTTGTAATAACTGGTAGAGAGTCTGCGATTTTAAATAATCTTCACCCTGGTTCTTTCTCTATAATTCTGATATTGCTAATATTCAGCACAGCCTTGTTTAATTTTTAGCCTATTTTCTCCACTTACTTGTTGGCTGCAAATGCGGTGATGGCTGCCAAGACCCCAGTCTTAAACGCCTTCCCCCCGAATGCTCCGCCAACACGCTTCACATGACACATGACCTTGTTCACCGGGAGCTTCAAGACCGAAGCAACAATGTCCTGGGAATGATAACAGCTCTCATTAATCTAGCCTATCAGATTAAGGGAGGTAGGACAGTCCTTCCACGTGTTGATTCTATAATGTACATGATAGGCGTAGTATAACTGTGTGGATTTACTTATACTAAGTAAAAGGACACTTTCCAATGACCCAGGCATGCATCCATGCTCCTCTTAGTGGGATTTGGCTACAGTAACATTGCCAAAACTATCATTAATATTGAGTAGTCTGTTCTGTAGCAGTGAGTTATTTCTGTGCTAATAATTTTTTACAAATTTTCCCCGTGAACCATACCCAAGTATCCTTTCACCCTGACCCCTGGGGATACTTTTCCCTTAGCAGTGAGGTTTTGCAGCCTTCCAAACCTCATTCAGGTCGGGTCTTCCCCTGCACTCTACCCCTGTCCGCTGGGAAATGCTCTCTTCTGGCCTCATGTTTGGATTATTGCCCTAATTGGCCAGTAGGTCTTCCCTGGATGCAGGTTTGCTCTTTTCTACATCCTAATGTTTAGAGGTCATGTAATCTTCACAGCTCATTTTTATAGCGAGGGAGCCCAAAAGGGATGAAGTGAGGGACCCAACGTCACCCAGGAAGTGGGGAGCAGAAAAGGACGGAAATGGAGTTTGCTTGATCCTTCTTAGTGTTTCACCTTCCACAGGCCCCCTTCTCCACATTCCCACATTCCCACTTGCTCTGCAACAACACTGCTCTGGTAACAACACACCTGAATCAGGACCCCTCTGCTTTGTCCCCCTTACTCTCACCATAATGCTTAAACTAGCCACTTCTAAGGTATATCCTTCATTCCAACTTGGGCGGTCCTTATATTATCCCTTCTGTTTTATATTCATGCTGCCTGATATATAGGCAATAAGTGTTTGCAGAAGGGGTAGGTGAGTGAGTGGATGGATGAATAGATGGATGGATGGATGAGTGGTATTTGATTTTGGTGTGAAATTGCCTGGAAATGGCATATCTTCTCACCATCTAGACCAAGAGTGGGGAATGTTCTGCCCACAGGCCCTATGAGGTCCCAGAAATCATTTGGTCTGGTCCTGCCAAGGCATTAGGGATGAGTTAATGAGATGTTTGACTAAATACAGCAGGCTAATTTTTAAGTTGGTAATTTTGTATGGCCTGAGAATGATGTTATAAATATCCAAATGGCCCTTGGCAGAAAAAAAAGGTTCCCCACCTGGATCTAGACAAACCTCATTCTCAGTATAAATCCAAACTTAAGTCACCTCCAGGGGACTTCCTAGATGATTCTAGTTTTTTGCAGACCTTGTTCTCTTAATTGTTCCATATACTAGTATGTAAATTAGCAGATTTATATCAGGTTGCATTCTCATTAACACGTTTTCCTAACTGTTCCATGTGACTTTGAAGGCAGGACTTCCTCTTTTTACTTTTGTATAGGTTTATTGAGAAATAATTAACATATGTCACCATGTAAGTTTAAGGCAGAAAGCCTGATGGCTTGATTTACATATACTGTAAAATGATTACCAACTAGGTTTAGTTAACATTCATCATCTCATAGATACAATAGAAAAAAATTCCCCTCAGGAAGATAACTCTTGGGACTTACTTTCTTAACAACTTTCCTACATTATCTTTCAACAGTTTAAGTGATAGTCATCACTTCTTTTATATTCTTAACAGTGTCAAGAATATAGCAAAAAAGCCCTAGCCAGTTTTGCTCAGTGGATAGAGCATCAGCCTTTGGACCAAAGGTCCGTTTGATTCCTGTCAAGCGTCAAGGGTGCCTACCTAGGTTGCAGGCTCCTCCTCAGGGTCAAGGGCACCTACCCCAGTTGCTGGGCCCTTGTAGGGACATGTGCAGGAGGCAACCAATCAATATGTTTCTCTCACATCGATATTTCTCTGTCTTTTCCTCTCTTCCACTCTCTGAATATCAATGAAAAAATATCCTTGGGTGAGGATTAAAAAAAAAAAAAAAAAAAAAAAGAGTATAGCAAAAGAGACCTGCAGATTTCCTATCATTTTACAGTTACAGGTCCACAATAGAAGGCCTCTACTCTTAAAAAACAAAACAAAAAAACAACCACATATATTTTTTAATTAATTTCAGAAAGGAAGGAAGAGGGATAGAGAGATAGAAACATCAGAGAAATTAATAATGAGAGAGAATCATTGATCGGCTGCCTCCTGTACACCCCACACTAGGGATTGAGTCTGCAACCTAGACATGTGCCCTGACTGGGAATCTAACTGTGACCTCCTGGTTCATAGCTGGAGGCTCAACCCCTGAGCCACACTGGGCAATCAGAAGGCCTCTACTCTTATAATACTAACTTAAAAGATTTAAAATCATATGGATATTAATACGCAAATGGATATTCAGTTTCTGAAATGACATTTTTATTTGTAATTGCTCTTGGTATACTTTGCTGGTAGAAACCATTTAACTACATCCTCTCCATAATGGCCCTATGATACCTGTATGCCTTTGGGATATTGTGTGGACACGTAGACATCCATTTCTTGATCCTCTCCTTTGGGAACAACAAGCATGCTTTGGGTTTCCATATAAAAATGTTCTTGACCTCCCAAATGTATTTCACCTATAAGAGGAAAAGACACAAGAATCAAGAAGGCTGTCAGATCAGGTAGATAGCATCCCCCAGCTGTTTTCTCATTATGGAGACAGTCTACTGGCAGTGCTTCTGTTGACAGGGCGACAGACAATAATCTTTAGCTGTCATTATACCTGCAGATCTGAAGTGCAATTCTGTAGAGGAATCTGTCCTATCTGCCAATACTACTGTAGTCCTAAGGAAAGGTGTCTCAAGTAGAAATACTATGACAAGGAGCCTTCTAGTTCTAAAACAAGATGGTGTAGATCTTCTTCTGTTCCTTCTGCTAACAGCCTGGACATCCTATGTAATATCTACTATGCAAATTGACCAAATAGTGGAATGACAGGTCGCTATGACACGCACTGACCTCCAGGGGGCAGATGCTCAACGCAGTAGCTGCCCTCTGATGGTCAGTGCACTCCTATAGAGGGAGCACCTCTCAACCAGAAGCCTGGCTCATGGCTGGTGATTGCAGCGGAGGTGGCAGGATCCTCTCTTGCCTCCACAGCAGCACTAAGGTCCCTTCGGGGGATCTCCAATTGCTACAGGGAGCGGGCCTAAGCTAGCAGTTGGACATCCCCCCTAGGGGTCCCAGACTGTGAGAGGGTGCAGGTCGGGCTGAGGGATGCCCCTCTGGTGCACAAATATCATGCACTGGGCCAGAGGAGTTCTGATAAAACAAAAGGTTTAAATAAGATCCAGAGTCTTACAACATAATACCCCAAATGACCAGGATACAATAAAAAAATCACTCATCCTAACAAGAATTCAACTTGAATGAGAGAAGACCATCAACAGATGCTACCTCTGAGAGGACACAGGAGGTGAAATGTTCTGACAAGGATTTTAAAGTAGCCATCATTAAATAAAAAAAAAATGCTTCAATGAGTATTGACATGAACACTTAAAGAAAATTTCAACAAAGGAACAAAAGATATAAAATATACAACTGGAAATTTTAGAACTGCAACAACCAAAATATAAGAGTCTCAATGGCTGAGATCAATAACAGAACAGAGGAAATTATCAATGAACAAAAAATATAGAACAACAGAAATTTTCCAATCTGAACCACTGAGAGAAAATGGACTGAAAAGAGAATGAACAGAGCCTAAGAAACCTCTGTAATTGAAATAAAAGGTTTGTGTCATTGAAGTCAAGCAGGTGAAGAAGTAATAGCTGAACATTTCCCAAACTTGGTAAAAAGACACAAACCTACAGATTCCAGAAGCAGAGTAAATCCCAAAGGGGTAAACCAAAGAAATCCATGCCAAGACATCATAGTCAAACTTCTGAAAACTAAACACAAAGAAAATACCTTGAGAGCAGAGAGAAAAAAACATTCCCTCATCTATTAGAGAAAGATACTTCAAAAGACAGCAGGTCAGTAACCATGAAGGCCAGAGGAACTGGTAACACATTTTTCTTCATATACTAAAAGATCTGTCAGTTTTGAATTCCATATCGAGAGAAAATAGACTTCAAGAATAAAAAAGAAATAAAGACATTCTCAGATGAAGGAAAACTAAGAGAGTTTGTCTTCAACAGACCTATCCTAAAATAACAAATGGCTAAGGTAAGTTCTTAAAACAGACAGAAAGTGATTAAAAAAGTTCTTGGAACATCAGGGAGGCAAGAGAGCAATGGAAAGACTAAAGGTACAGGTAAACACAATAGACTTTCCTTTTCTCTTGAATTTTTTAAATGGTATACAGAATTACTACATTGTCTCTTGTTATTCTCAATGTATGTAGAGAACATTTTACAGACAATTATAATATGTTGAAAATGAGGGAGAACATATCTGGGCCAAAGGAATAAGGTCTGTCCCATACCATGTCTAAGTGTGGTTGTCCAGTAAATGTAATGAAGATGAAGATTCACCACTTCATCCCATATATTAGTAACCTGTGTACTTGTCATCACTTCCAAAAATCTACAAACAGTTAGCGTGGATGAGAACTGATCACTGATTGTCCAATAAAGTTATAAAACAAAAACAACATTAGTGATAAATCAAAATGGAATTCTAAAAAATGTTTAAGAAACTCATTTGGAGGGCATGGAAAAAATTAAAAACACAGGTTTAAAAAAAATACTCATAAAAAATAAAAAAATAAAAAAGTCATCATGCTCGGGAGAGGCAGACCTTCCCCCCGCCCCCCTAATCCTCACCCTGAGAAGGCTAATTCCTATTTTGTAAAACTACTGTTTGAAATTCTCTGCTATTTAGATAGTCCCTTATTCTGTAAAGTCAAGTCTGCAATTTTTAGACAGCCCCTTATTCTGAAAAAAATAACTTTGCCTTCTAGCCTGCTTGAATAATGAGGAAGATAAACTTAGCTGTCAGACCTTGCAGGCAGAGACTAGATACCCCCATGCTCTGCCAGATATATATATTTTTTAATTGAATAGAACTGTGTTGTTTTCAAGGCCACAAGCTTCCAGCGAGATAACCACTAAGTACACATAGGGCTGGCTCTTTAATAAAAAGAAACGTCTGCTTGTTGCTCTGCTCAGAATTTGAAAGACATTTTCTCTGGGCCCACCGATGTATAATAAAGTGGGACTCCAATCTCTCTAAGTGTTGCTTGGTTCTTCCAAGCTTCTGCAACAACTCAAGGATATTTTTTCCACCATTGATTTTTTTGAGAGAATGAAAGGGGGAAGAGACAGAGAGAGAGAGAAACATCGGTGTGAAAAAGTCACATCGATTGGCTGCCTCTCGCACACAGCATAATCAGGACCAGGGATTGAGCCTGAAACTGAGGAACCTGCCCTTAACAGGAATTGAACCCACAACCCTTTAGTCCAAGGGCCAATGCTTCACCCACTGAGCCAAACCAGCTACGGCAGACAGGATTTTTAAAAATTAAAAATATACCCAAATAATAGTGATTTGTAAATTGTTTGAGGAAGATTCCCAAGGAAATCTTTTGTATTAGAGTCTGGATTTCCTAGCTCATCCACAATCTGAGTAAAGAAAGACTAAAAAAGAATGGACAGGTTCTGCTTCATTTATAAAACGCAAAAACTAAAGTGTCAAGAACTCAGGCCTTGGTTGCAATGTAAGCTTTTATCAGGGCCTGTGCATTGAAAACCCCACTTGTCAGCAAGGTCCAGTTCGTGGTTTGCAATATTAATGATTACACCTATCCACTCAAAATTAATCTTGTTAAATATGCGCTTCATTTAAAAATATGCAGAGCTAAAATAAATACTAGACAAGAGCCAGTTCTAGGGCACTGCTCTGCTGCCCACCCCTCTAGCCCCACACCCTCCTCATCCTAGGCATTGCTCTCAACGCTCTAGTCTGGAAACCAATTTGTTCAACTAATCCCTGCGATAAAATTTCATTCCAGTATGGGTTTAAGAGTGATTCCTCCAGGCATATTTACATTTTAATACTGGCCCTTAAAGAAGGCAACGCCATCCAGATAGAAAGTTTATCTGGGCTGTGCCCAGCAGGACCGGCTGCGGAGAGGTAATCTCGGTCCCGGGGCTTCAGGCCTCTCGCAAATCTAGCTACAGAGATTGCCATCTCCCTCTCCAGTGGAAAGCCTAGAAAATGGGAAGAGATAAATGAGAATCTGCTTCATGCAGACGAGAGAACGTGCTAACTTCAGAATTGGAGAACTTAAGTTTGATTCCTGCTCAATCACACGCCTCTCTGGCCGCAGCTGGCTCATTTGTGCGTGGTGTTCTTTAATGCCTGTGACCCCGGGGGTTAAGGAGGGCTGAAATCTATCTCCACAGCCGGCAAAGGCAAACAATAATATCACCCCCTTTCAGAACACAGTGTAATACCCGATATAACCCTGCCTGCATTTTATCTTGTAAAAATATTCTTTGTTCTTGGAGCACCAATTTTCACAAGGGGCAGATCGAGGGCTGTTATGACTATCACTTCTAATGATCTCACATTGAAACAAGTAGTCCAAATATCTTCACCCAAATGACGGTTGCAGAGTGAGAAAAACAAACAAACCCAATGAGGTAAGAGAATGAAAACTTAAAAGTCCCTTTTTGACCTTCCTGTATCATTTGTGTACCTATTTACAGGGTGTGGTGCAGGTAGCAAGTTAAAATTCAAGTAAGAGACAGACCTAACTGAAATAAACAATTAAATAAGATGCCCGGACCTTCCACAAAAACATATTGTGGCACCAGTGGAAGAAACCCCTACATATTGATATTTCCAAGAGGTTGACACCATGGACTCGCTATGCTAAATGCTCCCTCTTCTCCCCCAAAACAGACTCAGCCTCCAAGTGTTTGCCTCTTTATTAACCCTAAGAATCACCCGAGCACTGAAAAGACTGGTCGTAAAACAGACTCCTGGGGTCCCCTGGATCCTCCAACTCTAGAATCTCGAGAAAGGGGCACAGGAATCTCCAGACTGGTTTCATGAGCATCTTCTAGTGAGGAAAACTGGGGAGCAAATGGGTTTGATAAATGCACGTCAGCTAGGCCAGCGTGTGAGCTCAACCACAGACAACCTTTTCTAGAGAAGAGCAAAAACATCTTAACTAATAGTGATTGTGGCTCACAGTTACCGTCTCTTACTTTGTGCCAAGCACACATGTATTCTCTCTTACAATCTTCACAATGGATCTTTGAAATCAGTATTATTTTATCCATATAGAGGCATATTTCATTTTTATTGCATTTTGCTTTATTGCTCTTAACAGATGTTTCTTCTTCTTCTTCTTCTTCTTCTTCTTCTTCTTCTTCTTCTTCTTCTTCTTCTTCTTCTTCTTCTTCTTCTTCTTCTCCTTCTTCGTCTTCTTCGTCTTCTTCGTCTTCTTCGTCTTCTTCGTCTTTGTCTTTGTCTTCATCTTTATCTTCTTCTTTTTGTAAAGAAGAGACCTCCCACAAGCCAAAAGATTACAACTCACTTTATTGCAGTGGTCTGGAACTAAACTCACAATATCCCTGAGGCCTGTGTATGCACTGGGAGGAAGGGAAGGAAGGAGAAAGGAAGGGAGAGAGCAGGAAGAGGGGGTGGCAAACTCAGAGAAAGGGTGAAAGAAAGAACCCGGGCTTGGGATGTCAAAAAAAAAAAGGGGGGAAAAAGCCATCAATCCCAGACCAACTTTATCACTTGGTAGCTGTTGTATGAGGTCATGCCCCTTAGCTACTCTGAGCTTCAATTCCCAGCCTGCAAGGTGTTTGTGAAAAGAAATGTAACAACTATGGCCACAAAGCTGCCCCTTCATCATTTTTTCCCCAGGTATAATAGTTTTACTGTCTGGAATTTGATCAATCACTTTATTTTTTAAAAATATTATTATAGCCGAGACTGGTTTGGCTCAGTGGTAGAGCGTCGGTCTGCGGACTCAAAGGTCCCAGGTTCGATTCCGGTCAGGGGTATGTACGTTGGTTGCGGGCACATCCCCAGTAGGGGGTGTGCAAAAGGCAGCTGGTCGATGTTCTCCTCTCATTGACGTTTCTAGCTCTCTATCTCTCTCCCTTCCTCTCTGTAAAGAAATCAATAAAATATTTTTATAGATTTCAGAGAGGAAGGGAGAGGGATAGAGAGATAGAAACATCAATGATGAGAAAGAATCATTAATCAGCTGCCTCCTGCAAGCCCCATCCTGGGGATCGAGCCTGCAACCCAGGCATGTACTCTGACCTGGAATTGAACTGTGACCTCCGGGACCTCCTGGAGACCTTCTGGTTCATAGGTCACTGCTCATCCACTGAGCCACACCAGCAATCGGATCTACCACTTTAAATGCTTCATCACTATTTCCATATTCCAATTTCCTTTCAGAGAAGTGAGCACCGCATGGGGCTGGAATGGCCAAGGCCTCCTACTGTGCCACCCTGCTGTGCTACACACACACACACACACACACACACACACACACACACACACCACAGAGAGGACCACGTTTATGAGTGAGATGCCTGTCCCCCAGGAGCAATGTTAAAAGAGACAATCTTGGAAGGTTTTCGGGGTAGCTTCCCCTTCTCATCATTTCCCCCCAGATAGTTTTACCTTCAACAATGTGATCAACCACTTTAAAAGCTTCATCGACATTTCCATATTCCAGTTTCCTTTCTGGCTCAAAGAACGACTTGTGTTGTATAGCTTCCTAGGAAGAGAAGAGAAAAGTGAGGCCGCCAGGTTGTGCCATCCAGCCCCACTCAGAAGCCAAAGCAGGATGTGGTCCAAGTCTGGGCAGCATCCTCCCCTTGCTCTGCCACCACGAGCCTGCAGCACACCTGCAGCGCTGAGCTTGAGAACCGGGCTCCAGAGAGCTCCCACAGAACAAATACAAACATCCTCGTTTCGTGAAAAGAAAGACAGCATGCTCAGAAAAATCCTGGCACCCACTTGGTCCCAGAATGGAACTAATAATTCCCAGGCAGAATATTCTCTTCGTTCCACAACCCACCACACACAGCCAAGACCACACAGAGCATGGGCTCTAGGCCCAGTCAAATTATGTCTGGTTTTTCCATTTATTAGCTGTTTGACTGTGGGTCTATTACTAAACCTCTTTGAACCTCATCTGGCAAAAGGGAGGTGCAGTTGTGCACACAGCTCCAGGGCAGCGGAGAGGAGTAAGTGCAATGAGGCACCTACAGAGCTCACATGGCATAATGAGCGCTCAGTGAACACCGTGAAGGATCCAGGAGCCCTGCCTGCCAGCCCCACGCTCCTCCTTTGGGGAGATGAGCTCAGATTTGCACAGGGCAGTAGGGCACCTGGGACCTCCAGTCCCAGAGGTAAGGTTGCATTACCAGCCCAGCATGGGAACCACAAAGTATGCACTGGTTCTTACTGGCTTCCCTGGGGGCCCAATGAAGGGGAACCGTAGTGGGGACACATAACCAGGGATGCAGCGATAATAATCTAGGTTGGTTTTCTTACCTATCCTTAGGACTGTATCTCACTGTAACCCCTGTGCCAACTGGGCAGTGCCACACAGCAGCTCCTGCAGCATCATCTCCCATGATGACTGCCCATCCATGGGATTCCCGCCTGCTAGGCAGCTGGGATTCTCCTAACGCTGGTTCCCCTTTAGCCACACCAGTAGGTGTCTATCAATATCTTACAGGGCTGTCCTATTGGGATCCCGCCATTTCCTATACTGGAAAGAGGATTGATTTGTTTTTACTTCCGTGGGGCACAGATTCTTTGATAGAATGTTTATTGACTGTTTCTATGACTGACCAGCCGTGCGCCCTGGGGGGCAACCCTGTCATTTAGTTTCCTCACCTAAATGGGACTCACAGTTTTTAATATCATAGGATTGTTGTGAGAATGTAGTGAGCAAATGTAGGAAAGCAGCTTAGCACTATATAACTGCATAGTGGGCTCTGTGTGGGAATTAGCTAGTGTTGTTGATCATGATGACTGATGGGAGATTGTGGTCAAGAACATATATTTTTCTCACCAGGGTTATTGGCCTGACCCTTTGAGCCAAGAGCTTGCCCATTCAAACTATTAAAAACTCTAAAAAGCACAAGCTAGGTGAAACCTTAGAGATTACTGACAGACACACATTTTTTTTTTTAATCCTATTTTGACTGACACCACACTTTTCTACTGGAATCAATTCACGTGATTTTCTTATTAATCTACGACTCAGCTATTTCAGGTCAGAAACGGAAGTTCTATAAATCCTATTTTTAAAAATTTAATCTCTTTCCACTTCACTTGCTGCTTGCTCTTTGAGCAACGTTGAGCCAATTTCCTGAAAAATTTCTGGTCAGGAAAGTGATAAAAATAACTTTAATATGTAGGGAGCTGGGCATATTTCCCTGCTATAAATGACTTTGATTAAATCTTCTCTAATCTACTTGCTTGAACTTGGAGAGCGTAATCCCTGATAAAAACACAAGATGGCTCTACTCCACAATGTCCAAGTTTCTTATTTGATGCTGGTGTTCTCTGGCAGGCAACAGAGGTCTGCTGACTGGAGTTGGGGAGGACAGAAAGAGAGTCTTATCTATTTGCTTATTTAGAATTGAATTTAGCTGAAAGGTAGGGGGAAGCAAGAGAAGATAGCCACTGGTATTGGGCAAAGGATTACAAACAAAACTTGGGATGAAGCATTATGTAAACAATTTCTTATGGAGAAGTAATTCTAATTCTAAAATAGAATATTCGGGTGTGGGGGAATCGAGTAAAGTAAGGAAGCAGAGCAGGCAAGAAATGATTGAAAAGGGTCTGAGAAGGGAACAACATGTTTGAACTTGAAACTGGCCAGGAAAATTTAGAAAAACTAATCAATCTTTGATTCCAATTAAACTCCCATATTTTTGTTTTCTTCATATGATCTTATTTTAATTTTAAAACACAGACGACACTACCTAGAAACAAACTCTTGAGCTCCTAGACATAAAGCAGCCAGAGAGGCCAACTTTTCCTGGAGACCCTAATCTTGGCCAAGTCATGTCCCCATTTTCTGCCTCAGAGTGTGCGAGAGCCTGGAGAGGAAGGTGTCCATTATGCTGGGAAGATAATGTTGCATTCCCAGAGCATAGGAGTCTGTATGTGCTGAATCTAATCTGTTCACGCTGCTTTTCCAACTTTCACGTTTTGATTACCCAGTAAATTATAAGAACCAATGAATTTATCATTTATCATTACATGAAGATGAGTTTTAAAATCTTTTTTTAAAATAAATTTTATAAAATATTTTTATTGATTTTGTACAGAGAGGAAGGGAGAGAGATAAAGAGCCAAAAACATCGATGAGAGAGAGTCATCGATCATCTGCCTCTTGCACACCCCCTACTGGGGATATGCCCACAACCAAGGTACATGCCCCTGACCGGAATCGAACCCGGGTCCCTACAGTTCGCAGGCCGACGCTCTATCCACTGAGCCAAACCGGTTTCAGCAAGTTTTAAAATCTTTATAAATTTCAAACTCCTTTCTAAAATATAGGATAGGAAATGCAATTTATGTTGCCAAAATACTTGTAGGCATCATAGGATATGTTTCTCATACTCATTTAAGTTAGATATGAAAAGATCTAAAAATAGTGTCTCCAACGTTTGCTCCCTAGAGCATATTGTTGTTTCTCACTGTGCCTGGGTGGAGAGTGTCTGGGTGAGTCTGGTTAAGGTGAATAAAGTAAGTCCTCACTCAATATCTATAGGCTCTTATAACTGACAAAATCACATATAACAAAACCAAGTTTACCATAGGCTACCTGCTGAGAGAAACAAGAGTTAAGATTTTAAGGCATCTCATCACTGTCATCACGACACAACGTTGAACGAACCAATGTTATTCAGGGACCTGCTCTACAGAGTTATGGGGTGTGTCTCCTCTTGGGGACATGGTTGGTTGTCCATCCAGCATTCCTCTCACCTGTCCCCTTCCAAACGATGCTCAGATTTCTGTTCAGGTTTCCTTCAACACACCTCCCCCCTCCTCCCATCCAGCCCTTATTCTTCAAAGAAATCTGACCTTCCAGCAGTAACGAACAGATCCTCTATTCCCCTGGTCAGTCATCAACCCAGAGCAGTATACGTGACTAAGGGGCCTGATGACGCTGGGTTTCAGGATGCATGGAATGCTGGGGCAACACTGTTCTCGCTTGCTTCTGGGAGCTCCTGGCTGCCATCCTGTGACCACAGGGGATAAAGCTCCTACTATGGGCAGCAGGGGAAAGAATTGGAAGGTCAGGCTTCTTACTAACACTGATACAGTTGGGGCCAATGAAGCCCCCATTTTTAATCAAATGTTGTTTTCTGTTACTGTAACCAACATATTTACTGATACACCACTAAAATCCGCTCTTCTGGCCCCACCCTTGAACTCATTACCTCAATGGTAAAGATCACTGGCTCCAAATCCTGGTAGACAATCTTCACTCGCTTCGCAGCTCTCCTTGCCTGAATCTCAGAATCCGCAATCACGGCACAGATAAGCTGACCCACACAAAACACCTGCAACACAGAAAAGACCTTTGTGTTCCAGAAGGGCAGGCACCAGGCCCTCTCCTCTGGCTCATTCTTCTCTTCCCTCCTGGCACAGAGCTACACACACTGTCATGAGTCCCTTCACTAGTCAAACACTGTGCCATGTGAAATGACTTTGGTAGGTCAGTGCACTGGTCAGAGTGAGTCTGTGCCCCGGGCACTGGGGAAGTTCGGATCCTTTTGCTGCATCACTGGCAGTGGTGGCCGAAGAGGTTGAGAGTGACGCTGCCTCCCGTACAGCAGACTCAGGCTCCATCCAAGCCAAGCCCACAGAGCTGTCCTAGGCCAGCTGGCCTAGGAGAGCCAGGCTCAGGGCCTGGCCTCTGGTTGCCATCTCATGAGCAGGGCCGTTCTGAGAGGTAGCTTTTGGCTTCCCAGACAGGGAGGACCAGGAGGTATAGCCCATCTCATCCAGCGAGGAAGGAGACGGGGGGATGATGTGACACTGCTGGTGAGCGAATCTCTGCCCCCAACTATGGGGGACCAAAGGGTTTTTATGAACAGACATGAGATTGGACTAGCCATGGAGTGACCAAGCACAGAACGCTGATCATGTCACCGCAGGTGGGTAGGCGGGGAGTTGACACAGGGACCAGGCACAAAGTTGATGGAAAACAAAACAAAACCAAGCCTCCAGAAAGGTAAATACTCAGAATTGAAAAAGTCACCAGGACCTTTTGTTCTTTCTCCCATCTTATACTATGATCACAATAAAAACTTATTCATTTATTTTTAAAGCCTATGTTAGACTATTAGGTCTTTTCTACAGGGAACATATAGTAGTTTTATCATCAGGAATAAAATGGTAGAAAAGCAAGTTAAATCCAGAACACACACACACACACACACACACACACACACACACACACAGCATGTTTGTTGGATTTGGGTAGGTGGGGGTAGTGGGGTGATAAATGAAACAAGAATGGCAAAACGTTGACAAATGTTGAATCTCTATTTTTGTGCACATTTACATTTTCTGCAATGAAAGAATGTTATTTTTTTATTATTTTTAAAATATATGTTATTGATTTTTTACAGAGAGGAAGGGAGAGGGATAGAGAGTTAGAAGCATCGATCAGTTGCCTCCTGCACACCTCCTACTGGGGATGTGCCCGCAACCAAGGTACATGCCCTTGACCAGAATCAAACTTGAGACCTTTCAGTCTGCAGGCCAATGCTCTATCCTCTGAGCCAAACTGGTTAGGGCCTGCAGTGAAAAAATTTTAAAGGCATAACAAATGTTGGAAAAGGAGTTGAACTAACAAAAGCAGTCCTTTATAATGGCTCTGCTCCCTGCTCTCCGCAGACACCTGGTTTTGCCTCTGTGACTTGCACACAGACCTGGCCCCGAGAGGCTCACAATCAGCACAGCAGGAACTATTGTGCAGACAGGAATGGCTTTGCTTGTTTAGCTAGCATCAATGCAAAGGCCACAATTCTCATTTTCTTCTGCCAAAGCCATATTCCTGGGGGAGTTTCCACCTTGACCTGAAACTCTAAGTCATCAAACTTTCATCTTTATTAACCGAATCTGCCAGCAAGATCCAGAGGCAGGGGCTGCCCCGAATGAAGAAGCTCTTTTGGGTGAACACTGGACTGAGAAGCCTGAGCCCTGCATAAAACCTGTTGAAATGCGTTTACTGCATTTTCTGATGACTGGAGATACGGTAGGCAAAGTTTTAATCATCTGAAACTTCCAAACAGCGTTATTTCTCTACTCATTGACGCTGCTACATGGAAAGGGGTGTGAGAAATATACAGATGAATCGGACATACAGCCTCATTCAAGGGCTTTCACCAGGCCAGGGGAAAGCATAGGGTGCCCTCCCAAAATGTACGCACACGCACACACACACACACACACTTTGAATAATTATCAATGCAGTTTTATTAAAGTACATTTCATGTTCAAATCTGAGCTATCAGCAGTTAAAGTGTGTATACATTTTGGGGGCACACCCTGTATCTAAGGCATGGAAATATATAAATAAGCTTAATCCAAGGTAGAAGGTTCATGAAACATCTGATTTGCCTTCTCCTCCAGACTTTAAGCTCTATGAGGACAAGGACCACCCAGGTCTTGTTCAGCTACAGTGAGCAGCCATGGTAGGTGCTCAGTTAAAAAGTGCCTGTTGACCTTGAACTTAAACTTGAAGGAGGAATCAATGGCTAAGTAAACGAGCAAAGGAAAGCTGGACTCAAGTTGCATGCAACCCTCCTGCTCTCCAGACCTGAGGCTGTGTGGGTGCATTGCCCTTTGTGGACAAAAGGGTGTGGAGGCCCCTGGATCAGGTGACCAGCTCAGTTTCTTGTGTATGCCGGAGCAAACCGGAGAAAAGTCAGGCTTAGTAATTTCAGAGCCTGTGCCACTTATTGCTTGTGCCACAGAATGGATCTATTCTCCCACCTCCGCTCCCCAAAATGAGAATTAGAGAGCCAACACAGAGCTAGTAAAGGTCCGTGGGAAATAACTAAAGGTCACCCCAGGATGCAGAGAGTGAGAAAAAAACACAAAAGGAGTGACTGGCAGTTACTGCAAAGTTCCCTGCACATACTAGTAAGGGCACCAGGCATGCCAAGATGGTGACAGAATGTCTCCTGACGTTAGACCAACAATCAATAACTACAAGGCATGTGAGCACCAACTGTTCTGGGGTCTCTAAGGAACCAGTCTATTTTATTTTATTTTATTTTATTTTATTTTATTTTATTTTATTTTATTTTATTTTATTTTATATTTTTTAATCCTCACCAAAGGATATTTTTCTATTGATTTTTAGAGAGAGTGGAAGAGAGAGGGAAAAACAGAGAGAAACATCGATATGAGAGAAACACATTGACTGGTTGCCTCCTGCAAGTGCACTGACCAGGGCCCAAGTCAAGGAGGAGCCTGCAACTGAGTTACATGCCCTTGGCCAGAATCAAACCCGGGACCCTTCAGTCTACAGGCTGATGCTCTATCCATTGAGCCAAACCAGCTAGGGTGTGTCTCTCTTCTTTTAAAATATAACTATTAGTTATAACAATTTACAGATATACTTAGCTCAATGTTTTCTCAAGAGATTTTCTATATGATAAATCTATTAAAGCGACCAATACATTTGCTTACAAGGGTTACTGATTAAGGCTCTATTGACTTTCAACTACTACTAAGTCCCCACTTAGATGTCAGTGAGCCCTAACATGAAAATTGTTAACTGTAATGCTTACATGTCTTGTAAATATTTAATCAACATGTTCTACGTTTGTGCTTTGCCAACGTGTGGATTCTGGGAAAGTGTGTATATCTGTTTCTTTTCATATGTGTGCATTTCTGAGGGCATATTTGTTTAACTTATTTTTCACAGTGTTAGTTCCACACACAGGTCCACACACACATATATAACCAATCCAATGTACAAAGGAACAAGAGCTTGTCCAAAACATAGCAGTGTGAGTGGATGAGTCAAGGTGAGTTCAGACAGGAAGAGAGCACTCCTGGATTAAAGGCCAATGAAAGGCTTCAATGGAGGCGACACCACTTGAACTTGGACTTGGACATTGGACACACTGACTGGGGTCATGGCAAGAGATTCTCAGGAGAGAAATTAGCAAATGAAAATGACCACTCCTCTCCTCAATTGTTCTTCTATATTTTTTAGCAGCACACTGTCTCACCACTAGAAAATGTCGAACAATCACGTACCTTTTACATAACGACACAGCTTTAAAATTATATATATATATATATATATATATATATATATATATATATATATATATTAAATATATTTTATTGATTTTTTACAGAGAGAAAGAGAGAGGGATAAAGAGTTAGAAACATCGATGAGAAACATCAATCAGCTGCATCTTGCACACCCCCTACTGGGTGGGTTTGTGCCTGCAACCAAGGTACATGCCCTTGACTGGAATCAAACCTGGGACCTTTCAATCACAGGCCAATGCTCTATCCACTGAGCCAAATCAGTTTCGGCTCAGCTTCTTTTCTTATGTGGAAAATGAATATATATGAAGTCATTCAGCATTAGAATATAGTGTTTTATAATAAACATTAAAATATATGGGAATCCTTTGCCCTGTGCCAAATGCAATGTTATCTTTGAGAAAATCGATGTGCCATGGTGGAGGAAGTTATTATTAAAACAGAAAGCAAAATGTTCAGTACCGTCTCTGAGTCCAGCAGTTTCTCAGGTTGGCCCAGAAAGCAGAAGGAGTTCACGCCTTGAAAGTGCTCCTCGGTTAGGACGTCCACCACACCTGGCAGGCTGAGGGCTTCCGACAGATCAATGGACCTGGATGAGGACACAGAGCAGGCTCCTCAGAGAGCCCCCCAGCCCGGGGACTGAAGGGGATGGGCTCAATTGAGGAGCAAGATATGAGAGAGGCAAGATAAGCCAAAACCATTGTTCTCTGCCAGATGATCAGGGAAATCCCTGAAACAAGGAAGCTAATCAATGGAGGGACAAACTAGTAAGTCCTACATTTGGATCCCACATCACCTGTAATCCTCATTGAATATCACCCACAAGGCGATTGCCCTCCTCACACCCTTACTTGTCACTCATGTGACTTAGGTGAGAAGGGAATCGTTCATGTCTACCGAGTAAGAACTTGATCACTTACACAATCTTAGCATGAGCTCTTGAACTTGTTACAAAAGCCAAGAAAAGTTCCCTGTCCACGGCAGGCATGTCATCAAGGTAGATGGCTTCGCCCGTGGCATGCTTAATACCAGATTGGTGCATGATGGGATGGCCGATTGGGTCTTGAGGAGGCTGCTTTGGGTCTACCTCCTGTTTAATCAACAATCAGCATATCAGTTTTATAATCATATTATACACACCTCCCATAAGATGGTAGTTATATAATTAACATCTAAACCAGAACACTTTTGAAAACGAAAACGACCACTATTAATAATAATACCAGGAAAAGAAGCCATTTTAATCGTTCAATCAGGAACCTGGGATGAATGCCTAGCCATAATGTTGTTCTTATCTTTTTTTCCCATTTTTTTTAAAATGTAGACCACAAACATCTCTAATACAAATCCCATTTGTATAAGTAAGTGAATATAACCCTTCTTGGTGATATAAAATTATATCTTTTTGCTAATGCTCATGGATTTCCTTAAATTTTACTATCAAAATATTTTTACTGTAGGTATCTAAGCACAGCACACACATTCTGCAAAAGAGCACAATGACATCGTGACTATGTTTATTAGAAATGCAGAGGACATGTCTATTTTGAGTAAAGAAGCCTGCCAAGAGATTAAAGAGAAGTCTCAAAGGCTATCTTCATCCTATTCTATAATCAAATACGAACTGGATTATTTTATTTTATTTTAAAAAATATATATTTTATTGATTTTTTGCTGAGAGGAAGGGAGAGGGATAGAGAGTTAGAAACATCGATCAGCTGCCTCCTACACACCCCCTACTGGGGATGTGCCCATAACCAAGATACATGCTCTTGACCAGACTCGAACCTGTGACCCTTCAGTCCGCAGGCCGATGCTCTATCCACTGAGCCAAACCAGCTAAGGCTGAACTGGATTATTTTAGCTGAAGGCACTTGATGTTTGGTAGTCAGCTGTATTTGAAAGAGGTTATGTTTGATGCTTGCTTCTATTTATTCTGTACCTAACAATCTGATGGAAGAAAGACTGCTGTCCTGCAAACTGCTGGTCTCTGGAAGCCGTGACAAATGCTTTCAAAGCGAAAGAACCGGCAGGGAGACAAGGCTCATTATGAGCACAGGAACTCTCTAGCAAAGTGGACATCTCTGTGCGGGAAAACCCACAGGAGCAGCCGAAACAACACTCATCTGCGGGAGGTGCACTGCTTCCAAACCCTGGCCTGCGATCCTTGATAGCAAACTCCCTTTTAAGGTGGTCAACTCCATAAAGATGACCACTTTTCTCTGATGATTGGAATACCCATTAATTTGTTATGGGTTCTTCCTAAAGTTTACTCCCTGGTCAAGGTTAGGCATTTATAAGCTAAAGGTTGTAGCTGTCAGATTTTGTGGACTACAAGGGAAGGTGGCAGCTGCTTTCTTTTTTAATCCTACCCAAAGACATGTTTTTATTGATTTAAGAGGAAGAGAGAAAGAGAGAGAAGCATTGATGTGAGAGAGAAACATTAATCAGTTGCCTCCCGTACTTTCCCCCACCAGCAATCAAACCTGCCCGTAGGTATGTGCCCTGATTGGGAATTGAACCTGAAACCTTTTGGTATAAGAGATGATGCTCCAACCAACTGAGCCACCCAGCTGGGCTGGCAGCTATCTTTCTTTTCTTTTCTTTTCTTTTCTTTTCTTTTCTTCTTCTTCTTCTTCTTTTTTTTTTTTCAGCTGTTTTTAACAGTCAAAATAATCACTTTAAATGGAGTATGGTGTATCTGAATTTTGAACATATTAAACTTAAACCCTGAAGGATATACACCAACTTCAATATTCATTGCAACATATTATAAGATTTTATAACTAAATCCAACAACATGTTCAATGCTCTTGACTTAATAACACCCTCCAGGTGAAGTTTCTTAATAATAATTTCAAGGAAAAACACATGGAGTCTTATCCAGCTTACCAATGGGATGGCTGCGGGTGATATTTTTATGACGCTGTGGCAGAAAATGCCGTTTGAAATGTCTGAGGGACTCTGTTCTCCCTGACAGTCAGCTTTCACTCGGGGAGCTCGAAGTAGCCCTTAGAACTTTCGTTTGATCCAACTCTAAAACATATCTCGCAGAAACCCCTGGGTGAGTGGGGGTGAGGAGCAAAGTAGATTCACATCCAAACAAAATAAATGAGCAGCTCTTTTACAAATCATTATGTCACGTCATCAACAACGAGGGTCTGTATTTTCTGGAAATAAAAGCAAAGTGGCCCCAGGGCCTTGACACAGAATGAGACTGTGGGGCTCCGACTTCCACGCTGCCAAAGGCAGAAGCACGTGGCAAGCCAGCAGCTCAAGCACATGACGGCACAAGGCCGCAGGGCCAAACACACTGCCTTCAAGATCAAAGGAGACAATTTTTTTAAAATGGCCATTGGTAGCTTGGTCTTCAGTCACAATTCTTTGTTGATTTTGAAACTGTACTGACTGGTACATAGTGCTGTGAATTCACCAGAGGGAGCTCAGCTTACTGGGCTTGAGAATCACTGAGGGTGAGTGAGTCTGTGTGAAGGAATTACAGCCAGGCCCTTAGAATTTAAACAAACAAACAAACAAACAAACATACAAAAAAGCCACATACCTGGTACTTCAGTGCACTCTGGCAAGGCCTAGAATGAAGGTCTTCTAGGGCACTCTCATGCTTGTCTGCAAGGCAAGGATAGTGAACAGGGTCCTGAAAAGTAGAACCAGCGTGGAAATGTAAAATGTGCCCGAGTGGCCTCGGAATGGTCCTTAACCAGCGGCTCTAATCTGAAGTCTAACATTTACAGAGGCCTCCCCATCAGAGCCCTGGAAATACAGCATCTCCGGCCTCCGGGCCACATGTGCTGGAAGGTCACACTGAAGAGCCAAGTAGGCCACTGCCTTCCAACAGCTCTGTCTCCTATGGCTCTCTCACATGCACCAGGCCCCCAAAACTCAGGAAGATAAAAGCTAAGTAAATACAATGGAAAGGGGTAGAATGCCTAAGCTAGGAGAAAGAGTCGAAGCACACCACAACAATGTGCATAAAACTCTGCCCTGCCTGCCAGCTCGCCAACTCTCTGAGAGAAAGGGCAACACAGAGGCCCACCCAACCGCAGCCCCACCAAGGAAGCATTCCAGGGTCCCAGGAGGAAAGCTCCTTAAAACCAAGGGAAATGGGCCATTTGGGTCATTATCCAAGGCTTTGACAATACACCTAATGGTTATTTTTCACATTCGTTTTTTAAATTGTAGGCTTAGTTTTAATAGTAGAGGAATACTAAACAGAGGAAGTTGAATCGAAAGGATGAGACTATAGGCAGAAGATTTAAATTATATTGCTCAATTCACCCAAGGAATTGCATTAGATTGCTGTTGATTGGAGTAGGCTACAATTGGCTTTATTTTTTTTCTCTTGTGATTGCTTGGTGGTAATATGTCACTGATCTATGATTTCAAGCTTTTGTTCTAAAAAATTTGATGCAACTGTTATGGTTCTTAGTTGTTCCTCTATATGATGAGAAGATACCCCCAGAAACAAAGAGAAGAGAGAATGTTGTGCCTCTCACTTAACATGCTCATACTAATTTCTATATCACAGAAAGGATGTGCTTGGCTTCTGCTCAGTTGGTTGTAGTGTGGGATTAATGAGGCCAATATGGCTCCAGTTCCCTTTGGGCCTCCCAAATTCATTCAGAGAAATTCTTTTAGTTGTGCCCTCCCTTTCCAACAATCTTTTAACTGAAAGTCTGTCAAAAGGGAGACCAAGCAGAAGAATGCCTGGATGATTACTGCTCTTATTGTGGCTAGTACTAGGCAGTCTTCATCATATTCCTCTAAAGCCCTGGGCTGCATAGGGACCACAGTCAGCCCTGTTCCTATGAGGGCCCATTTCACAATGACCTTGTGGAGTGGCTGCCATCATCAGCTTACAGGTGAGGGATATGATGGTGAACCAGAGAAAAAAGCCAAACTCATGAAGGTAACTCCCAACCGGAGGAAGAAGTGCTTTCCTGAGGGAAAGTATATTTAAATCATAAACAAATTTTCTGCACCCCACCTAAACAAACAAGGGGTGGGACACAAAATAACTGGGTGGCATTAAACACAATCCTGCACAACTCCATGCTCTCCTTGCAACTCTTGCCCAAACCACAATCCATCAATAGACAGCCTCAAGAAGGCCCAGCAAGCCCATGGGTTTCTAATCTGGGTTTTCTTTTCTGTTCTACAGCCATTGGGCAGGGGGTTGTTGCCTCCACTGTGGTTATCCTCACGGCCCCTAAAGCTGGGAAATACATGGTCAGTTCATTTACCATTCTCCTTAAAAGCTGTGACACTTCCAGGTAGAACTTGAAGAGGAAGCTGATGATGAGAGTCCTCTTGAACTCCACCTTCCCGCCCGGAGCTGAGCCTGGGAGGGAGACTTCATCCAGGATCAGCCTACAAGCTGCGTCCAGCATCTCTTCATTCCAAGGCCTGTGAGGGTCAAAAAGAGGACTCCTTGCTAACAGGACTCCTTATCTCACAGGCTCAGCCAGCGTGCGAGACAAATAGCCACAATCTAGTGCAAGCTTCGAAGTCAGGCAACCCACATTCAAACCACAGCACACCCCTCTCAAGGCGTCCGGCCCAGGCCCCCTCTTCGTCATCTGTAAGGGAAATAATGGTAGGATCCACCTTGGGAAATGTCATGAAGGAGAAATGACAACCTGTGTTAAGTCCTCAGCCCAGGAGCAATTCATTCCTGTAGCGCTAGAATGTTGACTGCAAGACAGGTTTGGGGTTTAAGCATCTTATATGTAGTCATGCATTTAATCCCCTCAATTGTCCTGCACAGTGGGGGTGACTGTTGCCTTTTGACATAGGGAAATTGAGGTATTGTAATGTTAAGCAAACTGACTGAGATCACATAATTAATAGGGCGTCAACTGAGATTCGGACCTAGGCAATTTGGCTCAATCGAGCTCATGTTTTTAACTGTCTATGAGGAAATGGTAACTGATACCTGGAAGTATTTAAGAAATATTGGCTACCAGTATCACCTAAAGATATAAAAAGTCAGGTAAGCAAATGCATTTAGCAATTTATGATAAAACAAACTACAGTAATCTGTTTTTCATCATAGTAAATTATGACAAAAATGTAGTCAGCATGCTGCTTCTTACAATTTCATGTAAAACAAAAACAAAAACAAAAACTGCCCTGTTACTTGGCGTCTGGGGCCATGATGCTGTACCTTCCAATGAGTTTCCGGCAGGAATTCTGTGCACAGATGGTGGTTGGGCCGACGCCTCCATATGAGATGGACAACTCCCTGATGATGCCGTCCCCTTCTCCAAAAAAGACTCTCATCCCAGAGTTGACTATCGCGAGAGCGTTCTGTTGCCGCTGGGCTTGTCGGAAGGCTGACACAAATTCCCACTGGAAGCCAAAGTGAAGTGGTGCATGTGGAAACACACCGAATTTCTAGACAGTTTTGGTAATGGCCTCACACATCCTCGCCACTCTGTTAGACTGAATTGTGTCCTCCCTGAGTTGAGACAATTAAGTCCTAGCTCCCAGGACCTGCAACGTGACTACATTTGGAAACTGGATCTTTAAAGAGGCACCTTGGTTAAAATGGGGCAATTAAGATGAACACTAACCCTACAGGGTGGTGTCCTCATCAGAAAAGAAAATTTGGACGCAGACATGACAAAGGAAAGACCATGTGAAGACACAGGAGGAGATGGCCAGCTACAAGCCAAGGAGAGAGTCCTCAGAAGAAACTAGCTCTGCTGACACTTCTAGCCTCCAGCACTATGTGAGAGTAAATGTCTGCTGTTTAAGGCAACCCGTCTGTGGTGCTAGGTGATGGCAGCCCTACAGACTAACGCACCCTCTGGGGTAGATTCAATTATTCCCTTTTTATAGGGAAACTGAGGCTCGAAGTGGGTCAGTAATCAGTTCAGGGTCACAGTAGGTTGTAAAGAGGATTCAACTTGAGTCTAACTCCAAAGACCCTTTCCTCCTATGTTCTATCTCAAGTGTAATTTTTAAGCCTCTTTCAAACCTCCAGATTTTGGTAGAGATATATTTTCAAGCTTTATTGAGGGAAAACACTCATGGAACAAATATGTATTTTTTAATTAGTAAGAAAGTAACTTTAGAGTTTGGGGTAGTGGGAAAGTTAGAGAGGGACAGAGACAAAGGTTTCCTGATTCTAGGAGTGACAGAAGATTGCATAACACAGATAAAAAGCAACTACAGTAGTCGTCATCGATTTTAGCTACCTCAAAAATAGCTACCTTATTTTTCTTCCCTTCAGTCAAGAACTTCTACCTTTTCACTTAAAAGAAGCACTGCCTGGCTTCTTTGGCATATCCACAGTGCCAGCATCTCCACTCTTGGGCTTTGGGGCTGTTATAAAGTAAAATAGGGGCGACTCGAACACAAGCACTGTGATACCACAACAGACGATCAGATAACCTAGAGCAGTAGTCAGCAAACTCATTAGTCAACAGAGCCAAATATCAACAGGACAACGACTAAAATTTCCTTTGAGAGCCAAATTTTTTAAACTTAAACTTCTTAAACTTCTAGAGGCTGACACTTCTAGCCTCCAGCACTATGTGAGAGTAAATGTCTGCTGTTTAAGGCAACCCGTCTGTGGTGCTAGGTGATGGCAGCCCTACAGACTAACGCACCCTCTGGGGTAGATTCAATTATTCCCTTTTTATAGGGAAACTGAGGCTCGAAGTGGGTCAGTAATCACTTCTTCAAAATAGACTCGCCCAGGCCGTGGTATTTTGTGGAAGAGCCACTCAAGGGGCCAAAGAGCCTCATGTGGTTTGAGAGCCGCAGTTTGCAGACCACTGACCTAGACAGCCGCTAAGTGACTAACAGGAGCCTATCCAATGTGGAGACGCTGGACTAAGGGCTGACTCACCACCAAAGCAGGACAGAGTGAGATGGCTCAAGATTTCATCATGTTAATCAGAACGACATGCAATTTACAACTTGCAGTTGTTCATTTCTGGAATTTTCCATTTAATATTTTCAGACCATAGTTGAGTATGGGTAACTAAAACTGTGAAGGGAACCCGTAGATAAGAGAAACTAATGTGTGCACAAGTCCTCCTAATCTCTCCTGTAAACACTGTGCACCTTCCCGTGAAGGTGAGGGCCTAACCCACTGCATGCTGGAACTCCCATCTGCAGCTCACAGGAAGACCTGGGAGCGGAGAGGGCAGTCTCACCTTCCTGGAGTAGGGGATGCTCACTGAGACCAAGATCTCTTCAGACTTGAGGTCCGCACTCGGGCACTTCCTCAGAAACTGCTCGTTTAAAGGAATCTGTCTTGCCCCTTCTGTGAAAAGAAACAACACTTTCCCTGGAATCTGTACTATTAAACAATCAAACTCCCAAAACGTGGGCGACAATTCTACCAATATCTGAGGGAACTGGGAAAAGAAGTGATCTGCCGAAACCAGTTTGGCTCAGTGGATAGAGCATTGGCCTGCGGACTGAAGAGTCCCAGGTTCGATTCCGGTCAAGGGCATGTACCTTGGTTGCGGGCACATCCCCGGTAGGGGGTGTGCAAGAGGCAGCTGGTCGATGTTTCTCTCTCATAGATGTTTCCAGCTCTCTATCTATCTCCCTTTCTCTCTGTAAAAAAAATCAATAAAATATTTTTTTTTAAAAAGTGATCTTCTTACCATTAACAAATCTTTCACCCTATAATGGCATTTTGCAACGTTTCTTTGCATCTAGATTCTACCTTTTCTCCTTCCTTCCTTTCTTCTTTCCTTCCTTCCTTCCTTCCTTCTTTCCTTCCTTCCTTGTTTCCTAGCAGAGAAGGCCAGAGGTCAGGAAGAACAGGACCTTAGTCCCCTTGCTGAACAGCATAATTCATTCTGGGCTTTGTGAATAGAAAATAGATATTAATGCCCCTTTTGATATTCTAATCAAGTCATTCAATGAACATTTATTATTTATCATTGGGACCCTTAGTAGATTCAGTAGTAAATAAGTAAATTATTTCAATGAATTCTTATATTAGTGATCTGGTATCTTTTTTTTATATATATATCTTTTTCCAGCACCTAAAGGAACTCATGTTCTTTAATCAATATATTTAAAACTATAATGAAATATGATGCAGGGATGAAAGCTAAGAAGCTTATGATTTTTACATTCACATCACAAGTCTCTCACTATATGATTTTTCTAAAAGGGATGTTACATAAATTGGTAATTTTGAATGAAAATCTTCCTCCTTAGAATAATTTTGTGGTTTCAGTGATATGAAGAGTAGTTCTTTGATAATGCAGATAATAGAAAGCTAGTCCATATTTTTAAAATTTTAAAAAGAGGTTTATAGAGGACCAGTTGGAATTTCCCAATAGCTGTTGACTATGTTAGCATAAGAGAAATAAATTAAAAATCCTGAACTTAGTTTTAAAAACAAAACTCAAGTAAATAAATACAGAACTAAGCCAAACCATTGTTCAACAGAAAAAGGTCAGGAGGCTTCCATTCACGACAAATTAGGTATGAGCCCACAGCAGATGCGGGAGCCACCCCCTCCTGAACCCCTGGGGACATCCTTCGGCCGGGGCCCAGCCATTTTCACAGCCGCAGTCTCTCCACGCCTGCGTCACATCTGGACGCCACCACATGTGGCCAGTACAGGGTGAATATCTAGCACTAGACCCCCCCAAAAAGGAGGCAGATATAGGAAGTGAACAGAATGAGGACCAGACTGGTCACCTTTCCAGCTTCCAGAAAGGCAGAGAGAGTTATTAATAGTATAAAGGAAAGTCACTTTCAAAACTGGGCTTCCATCGCCCCCAGAGAAACAAAGGACAGGAGGAGCCGATTCCATCAGCCTCCGAAGGAGCTGCCACTCACCTTTCGATAGCAGGTTGAGGGTGCAGCCGCCCACAGCCAGGAGGGGATTCAGGTCAGAATCCAAATGCCTGCTCACGATGTGGCCTCCTAAGGACTTTTTAAAACAGTGAGTTAGTCTCACGCCAATTGTACAATCATCGAAACACAAGGGATCAAATAAGAATCAAGCAAGGCTTTGGAGAACTATCCTTTCGGCCTGTCCCATAGAGTGGAAATGTTCTGATTTGTGGGGACAGCCATGAAAGGGGCACACGCCAGTGTACTGTCACTGCATACATACAGCCACGTTCCGGATCTGGGCCCCGGCCAGCGTTCCCAGCTGCTTCAGGAGGGCGCGGAGCGTCTGCGTCCGCTCCTCTGGGAGCTTCTGCACCGCAGCGGCCAGCGTGTCCTTCACCTGAGCCAGGCTGAGGCCGGCACCTAAGGTCAGCCCTGAAATGAAATCACGTGTGCATCATGTGGTGTGATCGTTGCCGGCCGGAGATGTCCATTCAGTTTCAGGTTACAGATACTGCATCCTGCTACCCTGCCCGTGGGTGGTGATGGCGATAGAAGTGGTGTTGGTGATGATGGCTATGATGGCGGCCAAACGTTTTGAACACTGGCCATGTCAAGCACTCTATTGAATGTTCCACAGAATCGCCTTGCACCCTAACAAGGCTTTGAGATGTTATTAGTCCTATTTCACAGGTCAAGAAACTGAGACTCAGTTAAGAACTTGACTAGTATTTTACAGCTACTATACAACACTAGAAGCCTGATGCACAAATTTCATGCAAGAATAGGCCTTGGTAGCCGCAGCGGCTGCCTCGAACCAGCAGCTGCAGCCCGGCTTCTTCCAGAAGGTCGTCTGGAAGGACGTCCGGGTGGCCATTTGGCCGATTTGCATATTATGCTTTTATTATTATAGATATAGATAGTCAAGAATTAGACTCCAGAGCCAGACTTCAAACTCCCATTTATATCACTTCTCATCCTTGCCATGAAATCAACTTCCTTTATCAGAATGAAAAGAATCTATAAGCTGCTTGATGCATAAACTTGCTCTGCTTACTCCTGTGCTTCTGGAGGCAAAGATTGTGTTCACTCGTCTCTGTCTTCCGCCCAGCACTTACACAGTGCCCTTTGTGGAAGAGTTGTTACATTTCTCTGATTTGGCACTCACAGAAAGTTCCCCAGTGAAAAGCTGACTATTCGGACTGTTAGTATCTCATAAAATTATGAGAATTCCCTGAGCCTCCTCCAGAATGTTATCCTTTTTATAAGAAGGGAATCTCTCTGTCTGTTATAATTTGGAGTAATTCTTCTCGTTAACTGAGGGGCAAAGAAAATCAATTGATTGATTCATTTTAACTAAGAAAGCAGGGACCTTTAGAACTTACCATTATTTGCATAGTTTACAACATTCAGCTCTTCAATTCTATCGGGAGAAATGATAATGGGATGGAAGACACCTTTAAACTTCACTTCGGGCCCTAAAGAATTGAAAGAAGAGGAAGAACCGCCTTGTTAGTTGGGAAATTGGGATTCAAACTGATGTCTTTAAATATATAAAAACCACATATCCTCCTACTGGTCTGTGCATGGCACAGCGGACAGCTAGCTGAATCTTCACTGCACAGGGGACCCTTTGCATCGTCAGCCTGAAAACTTGGCTGATGAATCCAAGACAATGTGTGGCAACTCAAAATTCCCTTTGGGCCCGGCCAGTGTTGCTCAGTGGTTGAGCATTGACCTATGGATCAGAAGGTCATTTTTTTTTTTTCTGGTTAGAACATATGACAGGGTTGTGGGCTCGATCCCCAGTGTGGGGTGTGCTGGAGGCAGAAGATCGATGATTCTCTCTCATCATTGATGTTTCTTTTCTTAAGATATATATTTTTATTTATTTCAGTGAGGAAGGGAAAAGAAAGAGAGAAAGAACCATCAGTGATGAGAGGGAGTCATTGATCTGCTGCCTCCTGCATGCCCCCTTACTGGGGATTGAGCCTGCAACCTGGACATGTGCTCTGACCGGAAACAAACCATGACCTCCAGGTTCATAGGTCAATGCTCAACCACTGAGCCATATCAGCCAGGCTCATCATTGATGTTTCTATCTCTCGCTCTCCCTTCCTTTCTGAAATCAATAAAAGTATATTTTTAAAAATCCCTTTGGAAGGACCCTGGGAGCCTTCTCAAAGAAGCAGGTGGTCAAACCGAGTTTACAGAGCAGACAGTAGGAGGACCCGTAACTGCAGCATATACCTAAGGAGACACCTTTCAGAGGAAACAGAGCCTTTCCAGACACGAGCCCCAGATCAGCCCCCACAGGGAACTAGGACAGGACTGCCATCCCTGGAACTGCTGCTCACCCTCCTTAACCCCCCACACAAAACCTGGTGCAGCTCTGTGCACCGCTCCCACAGGGACAACAGAAATCACTTATGTCAGGAAGCTCTGAGATTCTTGTGAGCAATGCCGAGGAAGCCAAGACTCACTCCCCCTGATGCTCCTGAGACACGCATATTTGAGGTTCTTTTCCCCAAAGCACTCCTCCTAGGTTTCCCCTTAAGCAGTCCCAGAGTTCTGCCTACCCGTAGAGGTGTTCCCCATGACGACAGGGGCCTGGGGGTACTTGGCTTTAGCCTCCAGAAGTTCCTTCAGGGTCACCGGGGAAATCCACGTCATCCTCTCGCCAGCAAAAACTCTGGTCGTTGGTGGTTGTTTCTCAGCCAGGATCTGTGGCAGAACCAGCAGGGATTTGAAATTACTTTATGACCATGTTTCCACCTGGGTTTGCTCTGTCTTCGTATAAATAGGGGAAGGAAATGGAGATTTCAAAAACAAATAAATAAAAATGACCTAAACGTACAGCCTCACTAGGAATCAGAATAAAAATGGGCAATATTTCACTCCTTCTGGAATCTGTTCCAGTGCCTCCTCTTGGCACTTTTATATTTCAAAGGAATTCATTTCAATGTTTACAGAGGTTTCATCATGCTTAATTTTGTTACAGCTTTCTATGTAAGAATAAACTCGGGTTTCTGCTAGAAGTAGAAAACATGTCTAAGTCTACAAATGTGATATCATTTTGTAGCATTTTTTATGGACACTAACTGCTGCTTCTTACAGTCACTGTCTCCTCTAGGCGATATGCCCCCCACCTTCATTCCACTCCCCCCTCTGCATCGGTCCCACATTCTTTAGACCTTGAGTGGAGGACAACAGATGGATATTACCTGGCTGCAATTGGCCTTTGAGAGGATTCGTCAGCAAACACCCTTCCTGCCATTTCCCCATGAACTCCTCTAGGACAACCCCAGCGTTGCCTTCACTTACCATTAGCTCAGGAGGAAAAATCAATTCCTGAGTTGGATCCAGTGGCAGAAACTCCTCTTCTGAGAAGAGTTTTGAACTTGCCTTAAAAAGAGAAAATACAATAAGTAACTCATCCATCAACTTGAACTACAGTACTTTAAATCCTGTGTGGAATGAGCTCAGAAGACACACACACACACACACACACACGCACGCACGCACGCACGCACGCGCACACACACACACACACACACACACATACCAGAAAGCAGCTGGCCAGCCACAGTCCCTGGGTTCTGAGTCAAGGGCTCTGACACAGACCTGGTCCTTAGCAAAAAGTGTGGTTGGTGGGAGCCCCCAGGCCCTGCACCCCTGCATGTTCACCTGGAGTCTGGGGAAGCAGAGGATGCAGCTGAGACCAAGAACATCTCCCTGAATCGCCACCTGTTCTTTCATCACCCTGACACTGCACTGTGCTTCTCACTCTTGAAAAAAGACTTGAAGGAGGCTTTTTTTAAAACCACAAAAGAGCCTGGCTGGTATGGGGGTCACAGCTTGATTCCCAGTCAGGGCACATGTCCGGGTTTTGGGCTCAGTCCCCAGTGGGGAACCTGCAAGAGGCAGCCAATCAATGATTCTTATCATTGATGTTTCTAACCCTCTCCCCATCTCCCTTCTTCTCTGAAATCAATAAAATACCTTTTAAAAAAAAGGAGACTAAAAAACACTGAGATATCAATGTGCTTTCCCTCCTACAGACCGCTGTGCTTTGAATGAGACTAACATCTGTATGAGGAATGCATTGTTAGGATAGATTTGTGTGTGCGCGTGACAGAGATGGAGTGAGCATGGGAGAGGGGGACATGCTGATAGACCTCCAGTTAATTTAACTCACACAGCCATTTATTCTTCCTAGAAGTCAGCTGGACTCTGACAATCTCCTGAGAAACTCTTATAAAAAGTGCACATGTCACTGACCTTATTTCCTTCCTCAGGTTCTGGGAATCCGTTTATCCCTTGATTCAAACAGCAAACCCCATTCTCCTTACTTTGGCAGCAGCCAGAAGTCTAGGGGGTGAAAAACAAATAATGGAGAATTTATTCCTGATTTTACTAAGAATTTTTTCAGTTTTCTTGATGTATAATTAATAAATAAAATGTATGCATTTAAAGTGTATAGTGTGATGATTTGATATATGTATATTAAGTTAAATGATTATCACAGTCAGTTCATTAACACACTTATGCACATAATTACCATTGTGTGTGTGTGTGTGTGTGTGTGTGTTTGTGTGTGTTGTGAGAACACTTAAGGTCAAGTCTCTTAGCAATTCTCAAACACACAACACAGTGTTATTAACTACTGTCACCATAATTTAAAGATCATATAACAAAGTCTGGCACATAGCAATAAATATTAACAATGGTTTTTAATATTAATATTTTATTAATAAAATACAGAGCATTATTATCACTCTGTCCTTATTTATGATGTACTGATGTCATAGTTTAACTTCCAAAGGGCAATCTTATGTCCTTCATTTCAAAGGTTGTTTGTTCACTTATTCACTCAACAAACATTGATTGAGTGTTTACTCACTGGGTGAATGGTGTCCAGTCTGGAGGCACATGGCAGGCAGACCAAAGTCTGATGAATAGACCGAAAAGCAAACGGGCAACTGCCCCATCATGTGACCAACACTGTGACAGGGGCATGCATGCAAAGGGGGCTACAGGAGTACCATGGCAGGTTTTCTGACTCAGGCAAACAGCTCAGGGACAATGACCCTCAGCCAACATCAAAGTGCTTAGTGCTCATTACATGAGTAATAGGGCCAGGCCAGTGAACGAGTGTAAGCACCATGCCCAAGATCAGATAACAAACACTGGTACAGGCTTTGAGGTTAAAAAAAATAGCCCTGAATCTACAAATGGCAATTCCCCCACAGCCCCTACTGTTCTGTTTCATTGGGAAAAATACACCTACTAACATGTTCCTTTCTACTCACATTACAGAAGGTCTTGCATGCATCAACGATGGGCCTGTATCCAGTGCAACGGCACAGGTTACCTAGAGGAGAAAAATCCCACTCTGTCAATCATGGAACCTAGAGAGAGGCACAGACAGCCAATCATGATGGCCATAAGGCCTCCATCCTAGAAGGAAGTCCTATTTGACATTTCAGTGCATCTACTTTACAAAGTCAGATTTCTTTATCAGCAACTTGGGATATTTGGTTGATATATAAAATTACTACAAAGAGCAAAGGAGATCACCTGTAATAGCATTTAATACTGTGTGTGGCACGTGGCAGATGTCCACCATTAGTGTTCATCATCATCATCATCATTCAAAAATGAAAGCACACACACAAACACACACACACATAACCTACCACCCAAGGCATCAGTTAACTGGTCCAGGGTGGGATCTGGGTGGTTCCTCAGCAGCGCATACATGGACATCACCATCCCAGGGGTGCAGAAGCCACACTGTGTGCCGTGGCACCTGGCGATCCTCTCCTGGAGGAACAGGAGGCATAGACATGCAGAATCTGGGGCCCCACCCCAGGCCTACTGAGTCACACCTGCCTGTTGGCAAGAGCCCCAAGCGAACTGTGTGCACATTGAGGTTGGAAAAGAGGCCCCAAAAGATCCTTCTCAGCCTGGAGGTCGCCCTTTCTTGGGCTGAGTGGCCAGGAATACCGGTCCCCACCAGCTTTTTTTTTTTTTTTTTCACGTTTCCTCCTTTTTCTTTCACGTTTTTTTTTTTTAATTGTTTAAAGTATTACATATGTCTCCTTTTTCCCCCGATTGTCTCCCAGCCCCATTCTTTCATGTTTTAATCATATATATATTTTAAATATATATATATATTTTAAATATATATATATATTTTAAATATATATATATTTTAAATATATATATATATATATATATATATATATATATATATATATATATATTGTATTGGTTTTTTTACAGAGAGAAAGGGAGATTGAGAGCTAGAAACATTGATGAGAGAGAAACATCAACCAGCTGCCTCCTGCACACCCCCTACCGGGGATTTGCTTACAACCAAGGTACATGCCCTTGCCTGGAATAAACCTGGGACCTTTCAGTCCACAGACCAATGCTCTATCCACTGAGCCAAACCAGTTTCGGCCCTCACCAGCTTTTGAGCTTCATTCAAGGTTCTCAGTTTTTAGAATCAACAAGGGAGTTTAAAAATGTCCAAAAGCAGCACCCAAGATCAATTAACTGAGAATCCCCAGGGGTGTGACACAGACATGTAAATATTCCCAGGTTGTCCGCTCGGCTGGTATAGCTCAATAGTTGAGTATCAACTGACAAACCAGGAGATCATAGTTTGATTCCCACTCAGGGCACATGCCCAGGTTGTGGGCTCTGTCCCCAGTAGGGGTCATGCAAGAGGCAATCAATGATTCTCTCTAATCATTAATGTTTCTATCTCTCTCTTCCTCTCCTTTTCTCTCTGAAATCAATAAGAATATATTTAATAATAATAATAATAGTAAAGATTCCCAGGTGGTTTCAATTTGTAGTCCTGAATGGGAATCACTGAGATAAAGTGATCCCAAGGTTATTCCTTGGAAGTCTTTCAGGGAAATGAACTGAATTATATTCAAGTTCAGGGTGAAAAACAAACAATAACAAACAAACTTCCAACCATTTCCTGTACCTGCCCACTACTGCCCTAATGCTGTGGCACACAGAAGTTTGTTTACAAAGTACTATTATTGGTCCTGAAAGCGATCAAGGAGAAAGCATTGCCTTTATTTTCCTTCCAACCCTTTCCTGCCCCCAGCACGTTCTCCTTGGATTCTAACTTCAAAGTTGCAAGCTCCTTTTGGAAGCTGTCTTGTGGCTGCATTGCAGCCAGGAGAGGAACAGCGGTGGTTAAATGAAAGTGTTGTCATGCCTGTGAATAGGGAAGTCTCCCCAGGGTATCCGGGCAGAATTCACTCCCTCTAGGTATTGGGGTTTCATAGACCATAAACAGAACCCACGAATCCTTCAAGTCCAGAGAATTTGAAGTTTGGCCATTTTATTTGTCACCTCAATTAGTTCCCCTCTTCAGCCCTCTCCCCATAAGTGACGCTTATCAACTTAGAGGAAAACGTGGAGTAACAACATTTTTATGGCAAATGCATAAATAACCAAAAGACTCAGGGGTCAGAGGTGCCCTTTCACTTGAGGCAAAGTTCTAAGAAGGTGCTGCCTTAGGAGAAAAAACCCTCAAAATTCATCGACCATTCCTAGAACCTGTCTTCTGAACAAGTCCTAAATTTAACAAATCCTTTTGGTAGCTGAGATTTTCATTCCGCTTTAAAATCATGTTGTTTTCCATTTTATAAAAAAACACAATAAAATTATATTCCTCAATGCACAGAGCTCTTGTGTCTTTGTAAGGTTGGAAGATGCAAAGCGGACAGTGGATAGGTGCCATTTAATTAGAACATAGAAAACAGACTGATGAGTCTCAGAGGGAAGTGGGGGGAGAGTGGGTGGGTGGAAAACAATTAACCAAAGAACTTGTATGCATAACCCATGGACACAGACAATAGGGTGGTAAAGGTGGGTGGGGGGCAGTGGGATGTGGGCTAGAAGGTGTCAATGGGGGGGAAAGGAAGGATATCTGTAATACTTTCAACAATAAAGATAATTTAAACATTAAAAAAATCTATCTATCTATCTATCTATCTATCTATCTATCTATCTATCTATCTATATCTTAAAAACAAAATCCAGTGAGGTCAGTGTTGGTTTGTTGATTTGTTTTTAACCAAGTCCTCTAGTCTTCAGAAAGCATCTTTCCAGGAAGTCAGTCACAAAACATCCATGTGGCTCAGTTCCCCTCTTGGTCCCCAGCTTGATTTCATCTGTCTGCTGACCAAGCAGGAGGACCCAGGCTGCTCAACAGCATTAATCTCATGGGCTCATTATGACATTAATGGTTTTCAAAGCCCAGAAACCCCCTGAAGAGGCCCATCCTCACCTGAACGGGGTGAATCCTGGTCCTGGTGCTGCCTATGCCTTCCACTGTGGTGATGGCAGCGCCGTACACAGAACAGATGGGCATCAGACAGGCGTTGGCTGGGTAATGTCTTCAGACGCAGAAGAAAAGCACAGATTAATCGTAGCCAATGGGAAAGGGGACTGGACATTCACTGAGCTCCTCCAATGGGCAAAGTTTGGAAGACTGTTCCAGGCCTTGTTTGCATATACTTTTTATCCTTAGCTCACGTTCATTTTACAAAAATAGAATCTGCTTAGGGACACAGCTGGAGTGCCAGAGACAGGATTCAACTAGACCTCCAAATTCTGACTCCAGAATAGGTCCCACTAACTTTTGTTGTTTTTCTTATGGATAAGGGGCTGACATTCTCCTCTGTAGTCACCTGTGATTAATCAGCTAGAGCATAGTCCATCTTCTGGGTAGGTGCTGAGCCATGGGTGGGTTGGGGAATAGAGTGAATTGAAATTGTGCTTCAGAAGAAATAGGGTGTGGGATACAGAACACCTCAGTCCCATAAAACCTACTGCTTGAACATATCCGACTCAAAAATGACAACTAAATTGTTCTCATTTACCAAACAGAACTACAAATGGCCAATAAGCACATGGAATATATGTTCAAAATAACCAAGAGAAATTCAAATTAAGCAATGAGAGACATCATTTTTTTTAAATCAAGAAAAATGACAAAGATTTTAAAAGAGTGTATTATGCACCATTAGCAAAAAATTGGAAAAAAGAAACTCATGTACTGTTGGATAACAATGTAAATTGATAGAGCTCTTCCTGAGACATTTCACTGGGTGGCATAAAAACCTTTCAGATATATGCACATTCTTTTACTCTGAAATTCCATGTCACAGATATATGTCTATATCACCAACACATTGCTTATAACAATGAAGAAATGAAAACAATCTAAGTGATTAGTATTTGAGGATTGATTTTGGTGTACTCAAGCAATGGAATATACACAACCATTAAAATTATATTTATTACTTTCAAAAGATACTCATGAGAAGTTAAACAAAATATACAGTTCCCTGAACAGTATATGCAGTATGCTTCTGCATGTGCACTCATGAAAGATCAGAAGGATATTATTCATTTATAAATATAAATATTCATTGAGTGCCTATCATGTGTCAGGCAGTTCCAAATGCTAGGATTCATTAGATAAAACCCCTTCCCTTGTAGAGTGTATAGTTTAGTGGAGGGAAGGTAGACAATACCTATGTATACAGACAAGATGGCTTGGCTGTGGAACACAGACAGATCTCTGAAGTCTGACCAGTGCTCAGATCCTCTGCCCTCATCTGAGATCTATGGAATGATGTAAAATGGTGTAATCTGTGCATAATTGGAGATGGGGGGATGGGAGAGGGAGAATAAATAAACATTTGAAGAGATAACTTGAGAAGTTTCCACAGTTGATAGAAGACATCAACCCATAAATCCAAGAAACTTGGCAAACATGAAAGGGAAGATGTTAAATGTCATGGGAAGCCATTGGTGATTTTGAAGTATGAGTGTTGCAATATGATTTATTGAAACAGATCTCTCTGAGTGATGTATAAAAAAGATACAGTAGCCGAAGCCGGTTTGGCTCAGTGGTAGAGCGTTGGTCTGCGGACTGAAAGGTCCCAGGTTCAATTCCGGTCAAGGGCATGTATAATACATTGGTTGCTGGCACATCCCCGGTAGGGGGTGTGCAAGAGGCAGCTGGTCGATGTTTCTCTCTCATCAATGTTTCTAGCTCTCTATCTCTCTCCCTTCCTCTCTGTAAAAAAATCAATAAAATATATTTTTTTAAAAAGATACTGTATTGGGGACAAGGGTAGGAGCAAGGGGACCATTGGTAGGCTGCAGTAGTGACATAAGAGTGTGATGATGGCATTATTCTCCCCTGCCATTTGAGCCCTTCCTTTCCTCCCAGACATTACAGGGTATCAGACAGCCTTTTAATTTTCAATGGAGGGTTCTTTGTTATCCTCACTGAAGGCACGTTTTTAATAATGCATTCATATTTCTGGGATATATCACAGTGTCTCCAGTATCTAACATAGTTGTTGCTCAATGCATATTTACTAATTAAAGGAATAAAACAAAGTTCAGAACTACAAAAAAAATCAACCATATCTGCACTTGGCTGCCAGGTACCTTATCTTCTTGGTAACAGGGTTATATCGTGATATCATCACTGTGCAGGCACCACAGCCTCCCCCTCCACAGCCATACTTAGTTCCTGTGAGTCGAACTGGGAAAAGCACAGTTAAGGATAATGTATTTTTCATAATTCTCTGTCCAGAATAACACTTGTTTTAGGAGACAACACTACCAAAGACTTAAGTTAGTACATAATTACCAAATGATGGATGTGTGGATGCTATTATTTAAAATTATGTGAATTCTTAATTTTCATTTGTGTGTTATATCTAGTCTCATCCCTTTCAAAACAACCGGGCCTCAGGTTGCCGAAAATTGGGCCAAACTAAGAAATGGAAGAGTCTATACACATAAGGGCTTAAATATTTGAAAGTATGAGTACATTGTATAATACATTTGTTCTCCACCTTACCTGTGTCTTTGATGACATACAAAGTAAAATGTCAATGTGTAAGTAATTCTTGGAATATTTCTATCACATTATCCAAGTTGGCCATATTTCTTTGCTTCTTGGTAGCAGAAACTAGTGGTTGTTCCCCAATATCTTTCTTCCCTGGTTATAAAATACTCAATTCTTAGCTACACACATGGTTTCCCAGGATTAAATATATAATTTAGCCTTCTCTGCAGATAGATGGAGTTATCAATAATGGTGGCCAGTGGGATGTGAGCATAAGTGTGTATGACTTCCGGGAGGGAAACATCCTCAAAAAGAGAAGGGTGCCTGTTTCCTCATCCCTTGCTTTTTCCCATTTGCTGGAATTCAGATATGATGGCTGGACTGCAACCTTCATCTCTGACCAGGAGGAGAAAGCTGCATGCTGAGGTGGGGGAGGGGGAGCAGCAAGATATAAGGAGCTTGGTTCCCTGACTATGTCATGACACTGCTTTACTAGCCCTGATCTACCTACATGTGGGACCCCTCTATGGGAGTGTGGTAGCCATGAGAATGTGCCTCACACCCCTACTTCAACAGGGAGGGTTCGGACCAAGAGACCCCGGAGCTGCACTCTGAAATCTATCCCTCCAGTTGTCACTGGCTCCCTCCCTATTTCCTTTCACTCTGGCATTTCATTCAATAAGACTCTTGCACATTTAATCCCTTTTTTTCAGTCTCTGCTTCCTAGAGGACCTGAACTAATACAATGAGAAAGGAATAAACCTCTCTTTTTCTATCTTGTTTATTGCTATTGGGGATTTTCTGTCATTCTTAATTCTCACAAATGAACTGAATATGAACTATTATACATCAATGCCATGCATAACCAGGAAGTCAGTGTTCATTGTTTTTACATCCAAAGATCTTAAATGACTTCCAGAAGATAGTTACTGATGCTTTTTGAGTTGCGTACACTTTGGGGAAATAAAGAAATATACCAACTTCCATTGTCACACGATTTTGTATATAATTTAATGAGGTCTACAGAACTCTGGGAGCCCACTGGAGTTCACACCTGCCAGGCTGAGAATCCATTCCTTGGATAATTTATTTAGAAAGTTTTTCTAAGGTACCATTCTCAGGCATAATTTCTCCATTGTTCTTTTACTTTAGTTTCAGGAGATTTCTGTGCTCTTTTTCTGATGGGCATGATGATTAGTCCTCAAAGACAGAATGTCAATATTGTGACTCTTGATTCCAAAGGATGCTTAATTAAGCCTTTCAACTTCCATTGTTTTCATTCCCACCACTAGCTTCTCCATCTATACAATATATTAAGTGCCAAGACAGAAATTGGAAAGAAGCTGGTTCTTCTGACAGTCTCAACCGTGCACTGCCTACAAAACTACAATGTAAGACTTTCTCTAAGAACATAAAAACACAATAGTAGAGAAAATATGACTCAGTCTGACTTTAAAAAAATATTTGAGCCCAGCCAGCATGGCTCAGTGGTTAAACATGCCCAAGTTGTGGGCTCAGTCCCCAGAAGGGGGCTTGCAAGAGGTGGCCAATCAATGATTCTCATTGATGTTTCGGTCTCCCTCTGTCTTCTTCTCTGAAATCAATAAAAATATTTTTTATAAAAGATATTTGAAATATCACCTAATGAGGCTTTCAGAACCCTCCCACCCTCTCCTACCCCAACTCTAAACACATTCAAGCACAAAGCAAAGGAAAGGATACGCTTCTTTCTCAGATATGGTAACAGCATTGTTTCAGGATCAACATTTTTTTCTATCACCTGCACCGGAAGGAAAATAAGAGTTAGGCACACATATTTGAGAGAGCTTGTGTCATTTTATAGCAGACATATGTTAATTTGACGGAAATAACTCTTTTAAGTGTACTAGTAAAGGCTGAATCTTGGGCCTCATCACCACTTTGCTACTGTCCTTGGTCCTGAATCATCCTGTACACTGTTCTCCAAGGCAGTGGTTGGTTCTACCCTGTTTCCCCGAAAATAAGACAGTGTCTTATATTAATTTTTGCTCCCAAAGATGCGCTAGGTCTTATTTCCAGAGGATGTCTTATTTTTCCATGAAGAAGTACACATTTATTGTTAAATGAAAATAAAGGAAATTTATTACCTGAATACGGTACGGTAGTACGGTAGTTGTCAACACAAATAAGACAATCTATGAATCCTACAGTATCAAGAATTTACTCATTTATTCAATGACAATCATGTCATCATTTTCTGGAACATCATCATAACAATCCAATTCCTGAATATCCTGGTGAATTTCTTGTGACTCCATTTCTTTCAGAATCAGTGGACTGAATATCTCATGTTTAGCCTAGGGGGGTCTTATTTTCAGGGGGATGCCTTATATTTCACTCAGAAGGAAACCTGTAAGTAGGTCTTATTTTCGGAGGATGTCTTATTTTCAGGAAACACGGTATTAGCAGGAACACTAGTGACTTCTGACCAGCTTTTGCTAGAAAGTCTAAAAAAGGATAATATATTATCATAAAAAATGGAGAGGGAGGGCTAGAGGGAGAGATAGATAAGAGAGGGAGAGGGAGAGGGAGAGGGAGAGGGAGAGGGAGAGGGAGAGGGAGAGGGAGAGGGAGAGGGAGAGGGAGAGGGAGAGGGAGAGGGAGAGGGAGAGAGAGAGAGAGAGAGAGAGAGAGAGAGAGAGAGAGAGAGAGAGAGAAAGAGAGACACGCTGGGCTGGAATAGAATAGCGTCTGAGAAATTGCTATAGTTTTTTTTAAGACTCATTTGCTTATCATGTTCAAAGAACAAGTTTCCAAAAGAAGATCACAACCAACCATTGCCCCCAAATACAACAAAAATGAAGGAGGTAAAGTGTGTGTGCCAAGTAATACAAGAAGGGAAAGCAAGGCCACCCTGGGAAGCAGGTCTGAGTGGCTATTGAGTGAATTTACATTCAAGAGTACCTGGATATGCCTGGCTGCCATGGCTCAGTGGTTGAGCATCAACCTATAATCCAGGAGGTCACAGTTCAATTTCCAATCAGGGCACATGCCTGAGTTTCGGGCTTGATCCCCAGTGTGGTGTATGCAGGAGGCAGCCGATCAATGATTCTCTCTCATCACTGATGTTTCTATCTCTCTCTTCCTCTCCCTTCCTCTCTTAAGTCAATAAAAGCATTTAAAAAAAATACCTGGAATACAAGAAGAGATATGATGGCAAATCCACAGAATCCCAATTTTATTTTTAATATTTAAATTTTTTTAGCATCAGAATTACCCAGAGGTCTTTTCCCCCCATTTTTTAAATTAAGGTATTATATGTGTACATATCTTACCATAGCCCTCCACCCCTCCTATACATGCCCTCACCACCCACTGTTTTGCATCCATTGGTTATGCTTATATGCATGCATACAAGTCCTTCGGTTGACCTCTTTTCTCCCCCACCTCTCCCTAACCCTCCTGCTGTAATTGGACAGTCTGTTTGATGCTTTACTGCCTCTGTGTCTATTTTTTTGTTCATCAGTTTATAATGAAGAGGCGCAGTTTTAATGGAGATTCAGGCTGTGGGGAACCCAGAGAGCAAAGAATGGTATTTGAGGCTGGAGACACATTGTGTTTTTTGGAAGGAGTTAATGGAAGCAGCAGGCCTTGTTTGTTCCGGATGTTTCAAGAGATTAGAGTTTGGCTCCGAGTCTGCTGGCTTTCAACAGGTTTCTTTTCCTTGATTTGGTAGACGGCATGTTTGGAGGAGGGAGTGGGAGGAAGGATGCAATGAACACCCTGTCCTGGCGGGTCTTGGAGTGAAACAAGGAGGTCAGGACCAAGATACTGGCGAGGGGAGGGAATGAGGCTCAGTTGTCCTCCCTGACGGGGTCAGGGTCATTGCATATTCCCGTCTCAGGACAGCCTTGGGTGTTGCAAGAACAGAGTGTATCCCTCATTTTTTTCCACCAGCCCTCTGGGAGATTTCAAGTTCACGTTGCACAAACACAAGAAACCACGTTCCTCTGGGCCGGGCTGAGGGGCCTTGCCAGGTCCAAGACAGAAGCAGAAAAAAAGAAAGAGAAGGGAGATCAGGGGGAGAGAGGAAGGAGGTGAAAGAGTGAAATACGAAAGGGAGAGGGGCACCTGTGAGAGGACCAGGCGGACAGGTAGAAGAGGGAGAACGGGGTATGTATTGAGGGACACTGTGGTGAAGAACAATAACCCACAGCAGCATGAGGCAGGGGTTCGAGGGGACAGCCAGAGAGGACACTTCTGCCTGAGCTTCAGGTTGCTCTAAAACTCATTTTACTTTGTTGTTCTTCCTGCCATAGCCTCTTCCAGCCTCTCCGATTTTCTTTGAATTATCACAGCTATCCCAGCAGCCCCAAAATGTCCTCTCCCAGCTCTATGAACCGAAACCCCAGGACAGCTCTGTCCAGATTCTTATCTTGACATCAAGGCCAAGTACATTTTGTTGAGCAAATCATGCTCGACTCCCTTTCGGCGCCCTTGGTACTTCTGGGCAGGTTCCGGCTCTATGTGTGAAACAAACTATTTTCCTGTCCAGGTCTTAGAAATCATTATGGAATGCTTACTCTGCGCCAAGTACCTTGCTAACCACTCTCCATGGAATTTAATCTTCATTCCAATTCCAAGGAAGACTGTATTGCTATTAGGTTCATTTTGGAGAGAGGAAAACGGAGGCTCAGAGATATTTAACAGCTTTTTGAGGCTCCCGAGCCGCTGAGTGGCAGAGCAGAGAGGGCAGGATTCAAACCCATGGCCAGCTGGTTTCAAAGCCCACACCTGTGATGGCTACACCTCACTGCCACGCAGAGGGCTGTGCTTTGGTTCCAGAGTTCTGTTAGAGACTGGCATCCGGGGTGTGATCCACTCGGGGGCTCTTGCCCCTTGAACTCCACGTTAACTGGGATGCCTGTTCTGGGGGCTCCTGGTAGAGCAAGGCGGTCTCCAGACATCTCTCTGCAACTAAGTCTCTGACCAGTGGTCAATGGTCTCAGCCCCTGCTCAGCCACACCTTTTGGAATCCTGGAGGGATTTCTCAAAAACCACAGGCCAATTATACCACTGAGTCTGCTCATTGGCTTCTAAGCTTCCTTTCAAGGGCAAGTTTGTTTTTGTTTTTAAATATTTTTTTTTTATTGATGTCAGAGAGGAAGGGAGCGAGAGAGAGAGATAGAAACACCAATGATGAGAGAGAATTATTAGCTGCCTCTTGCACGCCTCTTACTGGAGATCAAGCCAGCAACCCAGGCATGTGCCCTTGACCAGAATCAAACCCAGGGCCCTTCCGTCCGAAGGCCGGTGCTCTATTCACTGAGCCAAACCAGCCAGGGCGAACCCTTATTTGTTGAATATACCATTCAGTTATGCCAAAGAAGAAAGTGACATAACACTTCCTCCCATTGTCACGTGTTACTCTGCAGATGGGGAACAACAAGCTCGTCTTACCCAGTGGGAAGCAGACAGCAGGGCAGAGGCTTTATGTGAGCTACAACCTGTGCCGTTTGCGCGTGGGGAGCAGTCCCCTTTAAGGAGAGTAACAGAGCCCCAGAGGCGCAGGGCCCTGGTGCCAGACCTCCCTCCGCTTCCTGGGGAGTCCCATGTGGGAATGCAAGTAGCACGGCTTGGTGATCAGCTCTTCAGGAAGCCCCTTACCTTCCTGCCTCAGTTTCCCCCTTGCAAAATGAGGCAAATACACTGGGATGACAGTAAGAGTGACAGGCTATGGCTTGTGTGCTGGAGTTCAGGGGGAAATGTCATAAAGGGTGCCCTGGGGCCTCGACACTGCCTGGAACGGCCCGGGGTTCTGCACATTCAAACCCATGACCAGCTAGTTTCAAACGCCACAGATGCCAGATGAGCTGATGTATATTTACAATCACATTGAAATCTTTATCGTTGTTACTTTGTTGAATAATTGCTGAATTTTGTCAAGTGACTCTTGGCCCTGATGGAGATTGTATTAGTTGGGGTCCATCCAAGGGAAGAAACCACAATCGTTTTATAAATTGTTAACCAAATACTAGAGAAGTGACAAGAACTGAAGAGGCAGAGGGACCAGTAGGATATGGAGGAACAAGAGATGGGATGGAAACGGAAAGGCTCGGAGGCAGAGTTCCAGGACTCGGGAAGGTGCGCCCCTGGCTGGCCAATGCCACCGGGGACAGATGCCACACCAGCTGTGAACCCCCTGAAGACCAACTCCCAGCAGGGTCTCAGCTCTGCCAGGAATGGTCTGTGACTTAGAATTTCCTTATCTGAGGAATGACGGGAGGGGGCTGAACTAGTTCAACTCTATGGCCCCGTTGCAACTCTAAATTGCTCCCTGCTCATCCACCTTCTCTCCCTCTCCCCACAACTCCCCAGCTAGGCTCGGCCCTGAGAGATGTTTCCAGTCTATTGAAAGACATTTCTCCAGGGGGTTGAGGGAGGGAAGAGCTAGGGGTGCTGGCCTTGATGAGTAAGAATAGCGACCTCTCTCCTTGTTTATGGGGTGAGGTGGGGTGGTCAGAGCCTGTGCTTTCCCTGCCCCTGGGGCAAACCCGCCGGCAGACCGCAGGCTGGGCCCTGCCAGGGCTCCTGCGGGCAGGATGGGTGCCCTGAGCCGGCCGGGGCGCCCGCAGGAGCGCTCCCTGCGGGTCCCAGGCCCCGCGCTCACCTTGCGGCCGTTCACGTAGAAGAGCAGCTCGGCTGCCCCGTCCATGGCGCAGGCTCGGGTCTGGGGCTCCGAAGGAGGAGAGGGGAGATCGCTGGCCCCTGGGACCCTGACCCTGAGACTCCCTGAGTGAGCCGGGTCAGCTGCAGCGGGAAGTCCGGCCAAGACGGATGCACAAAGTCCGTCTCAGATCCAGAAGTTGTGTGAGCGCCTTCCAGACAGACGTCCGGAGATGCTGGGGCGGCACGGAGCGGCTCTCCGGCCCGAACTGATGGGCGGAGCTGGTCCCTCCTCGCCCCTCCTGCTGCCTCCTGCAGGACAGTCCCAGCGGCCCGCCAGTTTTCTCTGGCTTCCCTTCCCACCTGCCAGGCAGCCTGTACCCTCCTGTTAATCAACAACCACATTGTTCCAGCCCCACAGGAAAGTTACTGAAGGACAACCAATGGTTTTGCAACTTTATCTCCGTTTTATAAATCAGTATCCAAGTTTATTTTCAAAATCAAGGGCGACCTTAATATGGAGACAAACTTAAAAAAAAAAATGTTATCACTATTCATGGTTTATCTAGTTACTAAATAACCACAAAGTTCATCTAGTAAATATCAAGAGGTGCCAAACATCTTGGAAAACTTTTTTTTTAAAAAAAACGTGCCAAGTGCTGAAAAGCATAAAAATAAAAATCACCGATAGGCCTGCCTACAACTTAAGAGTTTACCCGTTAACTTTGTGGGTCTATCTCTACGTTTTTGAAATCTGTGCTATAGCACCTCTTATAAATTCAAATCCAGCAGAACTGGGTATTTTCCAGGCTAGTGTTAAGTACTGCACCCTGGAAGCTGAAGGCGGGAGAAATTTCCAACCTCCGTGGCTCCCTGTTCCTGCCGCATTGCTGGAGGAATAACTGCCTCAGTAGCAACTTTCTCACATCCTCCCCCAGACCTGCTATCCCCCTTCAGGGGACAGCATCGGCCAAGGCCACACCTTCCCGAGTCCTGGAACTCTGCCTCCAAGCCTTTCGGTTTCTCTTGTTCCTCAATATTCTACTGGTCCCTTCTGCCTCTTCAGTTCTTGTCAGTTCTCTAGTATTTAGCCAACCATTTATAAAACGAGTGTGGTTTCTTCCCTTGGATGGACCCCAAATAATAGAAGCTCCATCAGAGCCAAAAGTCACTTGACAAAACTCAACAATTATTCATGATTTTTTAAAAAGTACTCAATAAAGTAACAATGATAAATACATCAATGTGATTGTAAATATACATCAGCTCAAAATCTGACATTTTATTCCTTGGGGTAAAGCCAGAGGCATTCCTATGAAAATCAGGAACAACAGACATGAAAACCACTATTTCTACTATTTAATATTTACTCAAGAAAACAGCTACCCAATCAGATAAGAGTATGCAAAGCGCAGCCAGCATAAGAATTAAGGGGAAAGACGAGAAAAAGCTAACTTGGGTTTCAGGAGACATGTCTGGAGAATACTACAGACTATACATAATAATTAACATACAGAATTAAACAGTTTTCATATATGAAACCAATCATCAATTAGAAGAGAGAATCAAAGATAATATATATTAGCAAGAAAAAAGGTAAAATACCTAGGCATAAATCTACCTTCAAATGTATAAAACCTCTATGAGGGAAACTTTGAAATTCCCCTAAAGACTTATAATTTAAAGAGATGGTAGTGGAGCACAGAAAGACAGTCGAGAGAGAAAACTGAGAAATAAATTTAAGTGCACATGGGAATACAACATTTAAAAAGGTGGCATTTCAAATCAGTAGTGGAGAACATGGACTTTTTAATTAATGGGAAGTCAATTGGAAAAAGATAAAAACTGCATTTATACTGCAGACCATACCATTATACTTCATACCATACAACAAAATATATGTGAATCAGGAATGTAAATGTAGAAACAAAATGAAACCATAGGGAAACGTGTTTATAATCTGGGAACAAGAAAATTGTTCCTTACTGTGATCAAATTCCACTAGCAACAAAATAAAGGTTGATAAATCTGACTACATAAGATGGAAAATAATTTGCATAGGAAAAGAAAAGAAGACAAACTCACAGAAAGAGAAAAATAAAAATGAGGAATAGGATGATATTGCACATAGAAAACCCTAAAGACTCCATAAAAAAAAATACTAGACTTAATGAACTTGACAATGTTGCAGGATACAAAATTTACACCCAGAAATCTGTGGCCTTTTTATACACCAATAATGAACTCACAGAAACTAAAAGAATAATCCCATTTACCACTGCAACAAAAAAAAATAAGATACTTAGAGAATATACTTAACCAAGGAGGTAAATGACCTGTACTCAGAAAACTACAGGATGTTGAAAAAAGAGATAGAGGAAGACATAAACAAATGGAATATACCATGTTCATGGATTGGTAAAATCAACATCATTAAAATGTCCATTCTCCTCAAAACAATTTATAGATTTAATGCAATTCCCATTAAAATACCAATGGTATATTTCATAGACTTAGAACAAACTCTCCAAAAATTCATATGGGATAAAAAAAGACCTTGCATAGGCAACAATCCTGAGAAAGAAGAACAAAGTAGGAGGGATCTCAATACCAGATATCAAGCTATACTACAAAGCCACTATTCTCAAAACTGCCTGCTACTGGCACAAGAACAGATATACAGACCAATGGAACAGAACAGAGAACCCAGAAATCGACCCGAGCCATTATACTCAATTAATATTTGACAAAGGAGGAAAGGAGAAAGACAGTCTAGAGAGAAAATGTTCATACAATGGAGTCAAGACAGTCTCTTCAATAAATAGTGTTGGGAAAACTGGACAGAGACATAAAAAAAGAAAAAAGAAAAAAAAAAGAAAGTAGACCAACAACTTATACCATACACAAAAATAAACTTAAAATGGATAAAGGACTTAAACATAAGACGGGAAACCATAAAAATCTTAGAAGACTCCATAGGCAGCAAAGTATCAGATATACATACGTTGTAGCAATAAATTTACTGATACAGCTTATAGGACAATGGAAACTAAGGAGAAAATAAACAAATAGGACTACATCAAAATAAAAAGCTTCTGCACAGCAAAAGAAACCATCAACAAAACAAGAGAGCCCACAGTTGTATGGGAGAATATATTTGCCAATGTTATATCTGATAAGGGTTTAATCTCCAAAATTTATAGATGATTCATGTATCTTAACACATTGCAGATGGTTCACAAAAATTCTTGCTTCATATTACAGTGTTTTACAAAGTATCATACTTTAAAAAGATATTAACTTGTAAGAACATGCAATAAATAACTTCAAAATGCAATGGGTATTTAATTTTAAAGCATGCCTTTACATTTATGTAAAATGTTTTTTTGTACTCATTCAATAGAAACTTATTTGGTCACTGGGTAAAGCTAGCAATAAAAGTACTGGTCCACAATATCTTAACAAAAGGAAGATAAACAATCCAATAAAAAAAAAAAAAAATGGGTAAAGGACCTAATAGAAACTTTTTGAAAGAGGACATACAGAAGGCCAAGAGACATAGAAAAAATGCTCCAGTCACTAATCATCCGAGAGGCACAAATCACTGAAGACAATGAAGTACCATCTCACACCTGTCAGAATGGCAATCATAAACAAAGGACAAGTGCTGGCGAAGATGTAGAGAAAAAGGAACCTTCATGCCCTGCTGGTGGGAATGAGGACTGTGCAGCCAACTGTGAAAAACAATAAGTTTTTTCCTCAAAAAACTTAAAAATGAAGCTCCCATTTGACCTGGTGATCCCACTTCTAGGAATATATCCCAAGAAATGAGAAAGGATATATGCACCCCTATGTTCATAGCAGCACACTTCACCATAGCTAAGATTTGGAAACAGCCTAAGTGCCCATCGGCAGATGAGTAGATTAGAAAATGGTGGCATATATACACAATGGAATACTTCACTGCTGTCACAAAGAAAGAACTCTTACCATTTGCAACAGCATAGATGGATATGGAGAGCATATGCTAAGAGAAATAAGACAGTCAGAAAAAGATATCACATGATCTCACTCATTTGTAGAATATAATCAACAACATAAACTGATAAACAAAAATAGAGACATAGAAGCATCGTACAGACTGTCCAACCTATGAGGGAAGGCAGGGGGTGAGAGATCAACCAAAGGACTTGTATGCAAGCATATGAGCATAACCCATGGACAGACAGTGGTGGTGGTGTTGGGGAGAGGGAGGCCGTATGCTGGGGGGGTGGGAATGGCTGGGGAGAGGTCAATGAGGGAAAAAGGAGACATGTAATACTTTAAACAACAATAATTTTCTTAAAGAAATAGGCACAAAAATATAATCCCCGAGAATGACTGTGAGGTCCAAAGACTGATAATGAGTAACAGGAGCACAGGAAAGGGAACAAAGATTGCCAGGGTACCAGCTCTTAACCACTGTGCCAACGGTTCCTTAAAAAAAGCCTCTGGTCCCCATTCAACCCACACTATTGTCATAATGAGTACGTTCTGTGGGACTGCACTCCTACAGCAGTTTTTCTCAGTTTGATACTAGGACATCTGCCCCCAAATTATCTAAAACATTTGTTAAAAATACAGACTTCTGGACCTACCCTGTCAGTTGTTAGATTCTCTGCTTTCCCATCTAGGCAGACTAGAATTGGACTAGTGATTTGAATATACAAATGAGTAAGAATTCTTACTCTTACTACACTGTATTTAAAAATGCAGTTATAAAAACCAAATTCAAGAGAGCCTGAAAGGTTAACCTAACCCCTCAGCTAAGTTATCAGGTTACACAAAACAGAAGTAATACAGAACCTGACACCTAAGTAATTACAGACCAAGTATTCTGAAAGTATGAAAGAATGAGGGTGAGAAAACTGGCCAGCACAGGACTTTTACAATCTTAAAGGTGTTCACATATATTAAATAATTTGAAAACAAAATTAAAACAAGTTAGCTTGATATACAACAAGATAACCACTGCAAAAGTATTTATTATACATTTTATTGGTTAAAAGG